AGGCAATTTACTGACGGGTTTTTCCACGTGAAGGGGGTTGTCGGGGTCGACGATGTCACGTTTCACGATCAAGTGGACAGTGTTTTAAATATTTAGAGGGTGAATGTAGAACACGGCCGGGAAAGGGGAGAGACTCCTGTGAAGTGAATAATCATTCACTCCCCTCTCTATAGGGTTTAAGCTTTGAGCTCGCTAAAAAAATTCGGTTATTAAATGGCGCGCGATGCTAGTACATATGTGACCAGCCATCAAATGGACCGCGTCAAGCAGAAAGGAACCAAGTCACACCAGCTATTGCCAAACTTAATTGAGCAATTTATTTTTTTACGTGAAAACGGTCGTGCGGATTTTTGCGCAAAGTTCAGTGAATTTTCTGCATAATGCGAAGTAGAGTCCCTTTATGCTGAGAGTCAAGACAATGTGAATCCATTTCTGATTGGTTCCCGTATTTGAGGCCTTCATAGTGTCACAAACGGGAATAAAGATTACATTTCCACCGATTGCAAAGATTATAATCTGGAATGGACCAGGGAATTACGGGTTCGGCAAGGAACAAACGGAATGAGAGAAGGTACTGAGTAAAGGAATTTGAGAATGGACCGATCGAAGATTACAAAAATGTGCAATTTCTGTAATCTTTATTCCCGTTTGTGACTCCATGAGGGGGTGCTGTCTTGACTCTCAGTATAAAGGGACTCTAGTGCGAAGCAAATTCCTTAAACTTTTCAAAGGAATCCAAACAAACGTTCTCTTGTGAAAAATTAAATTGTCTGGTTAATTTTGACAATGGTTGATGTGGCATGATTCTTTTCTGCTAATCGCGGTCCAAATATGGGGCCTTGGTTGACAAAAAACTCAAAATTGAATTATTAATAACAGAGCTGAGAGGGGTGTTTTAAAAAATGGGATGAAATGATTCAAGATCAAGATCCGAACCAAATCAAAGTCATTGGGGCAGGGAGGGGGAGGAAGAGGGGGGAGGGGGTAAATTAAGCAGTTCCAAAAACCTAGTTTCTTGTTTAAAATACTGTTTTTCTCATAAAGCGACTTTCTGCAGGATTGGAAATGATGGAATTGAAATGGATTCGTACGGTTTCGATTAACAAAAATATTTAGTTGACGGCGCGATATATATTCTTCGGGTTACCAGATTGCTTGTCAAATAATAAGATATGGATTGATCGACTCAACTGAAAGAACTCGCTCTCCAAAAAAGCTGTCTTCGTGGACTGAGGTCCCTTATTCCTTGAATGGTTATATTTATGTTATTTGCTTTAAACCGATTTGCTTTCTTTGTTGAAAAGAATTGAAAAATATGAAAAAGTAAACTTTTTCTAATTTTGTCTGTATTTTGTTTGTATAACATAATCCATTTTTATTGATATTCTTGGAAACATTTATACCGGAATGAAAGATAAATTGAATGCTTGAGCTGTGGATGAGATTCACACCGTCTCTGAGGTGAATGACCGAGAATCGTAAATCTAAATTTACATTTCTTTCTTTATTGATCCGATTCAGAACAGGGTAAGTTCTGAAGCCATTCGAAGGGGTTCTCAAAGTTGCAACTTATCCTATTTAAAAAAAACAAAAATGGAAATAGTAAAATGAGTACAATGACTTTGCAGTTTTGAAGTCCTAAAATGACAATATATCATCTTTTGATAGTCTGAAACGACGACTGTTTGTTAAAGAGATCACACATAACCCCATTATAATTTTTTATTTTACAAGAATCATTATACATGATTCTATTCAAAAATCCCATGATCTCCATTCATAATTCTTTTCTTTATTTGAGTTGTTCATCAATCATAATCTACGGTTAACGAAAATGTTGGAAGGTCTGAGGCTCAAATGAACCTGGCGAGGAAAATAATATTGAAAAGGTGCACAACTTTACGAATACAAGATCTACTTGAGAATAAAGTACGACTGCTATACTTCCGTGCTAAGGGAAAACGCCGTAAGAGCCTTCAGACGTTGCTAAGTTTAATTCGATAAAAACCGAAATTACTAGAAAATTTGTAAATATTTTTTTCCAAAATTTTCATAATTTTTTTTACACAATTTAATCTCAAATGTCTGAAAATTTCAAAGAAAAATGTGCATGAATGTCATGAAAAATGCATGTTTTATCGAAGCAAATTTGGCAACTCTCGAATGTTCATACAGCGTTTTTCCTTATTAGCACGGCTATATAGCAGCCTCGCGTCATACATCGATGGCTTAAGTACAAAACCGCTTATCTCTCTTTGCGACCAAGCAGTCTTCCTGCCTTACTTTATGTTTTCTCTCGAAAACTAGTCAAAGTAATTTCTTGAAAACTTTCTTCATTTTTCGTCTTTACTGCATGGTCACAGATTTTTCAGTATAATTTGTAAGCTATAATAAAGTTGACTTGTTTCTCCTCAGTGAAATAAAATAGAAGCGGACATTCTGAATCATCGCATGGAGATACGTGGTTTCGCAATTTATCATCGATATAGTGCAAGTTGTTAAGTGCATTGAGAATAGTGATTTAGGAAATACAACTATTTTAACTCTCCGGAGGAGAAGTTGCCTACATGGGATAATTGAAGGCGTTTTCTAACGCGGACCGGTGCCAGAGTTGATGAGGAAAACACGATTGATCTGACTTCAAAAATGCTGGTCCTTGACTATATTTTCAAGCCATTAAGGTAGCTTTTTCCTCCTCGAAGTAATAAACTAGGAGTAGACATTTTGAGACGGCTCCATAGACTGCCGTTCCGGAAAACTTCATCCAGGGAGATGTTTTCTCCAAAACTCACACCACTTCATTTACAAAATGAAGGAGGAAATTTTGGAAATGCAATTAATATGGACTTTTTGGAAGTTGATTGCCAGTTAATTTGCCACGTCAGCCATGTTCTCCATCCTACTACATGCTTTCCGCGACTCATGGTTTGAGGAGTAATGATTTGGACGTATCTTTGTCAAACGGAACTATGTGCATTGAGACATGAGCCCTGAGATCCATAAGAATATATGCATACCAGGGCTCACGTCATAATGCACTTAGTTCCGTTTGACAGAAATACGTCCATTTGTGCTCAGCACGCAAGCAGACTCTTGCGGCGTATACTCCCCCCCCCCCCCCNAACAGGATGCGGAAAAAGTCCCTCCAGCCGACAATATCCAATCAAAAGCCTGGCTGAGCTGCCAAAATGTGCAGAAAAATCGAAAAGTTTCTCCGCGGAAGACGACATTTTGGACTTCATAATCCTGTTCGACAACAGCTTTCCTTGCAGGTGAACTAACCTCGGAAGTGATGTAGGATGCACGCATGAACTCATTAAATTCCGATCAAACAGAGGACGGATGGGGGGGGGGGAGTGTACAGGATATACAGGTGGGGTTAGCGAATTTAGATTGTTCAAAACTGACGCCTGAGTCCCAGAAAGTTACGCGTGGCATCATTCCAGAAGGAGGGGAGGGTAACGCAAAAATAAACCAAAATGCATCTTGAAAAGTCTTCGAAATTACATAATGGGTGCCGCTGCGATCAATTTTTCTCGTGCTGGGTTGCTGAACTTCTACATCTCGATGGCCAAAGTGTTTCAAAATTTCCGCTCTTAATTTATTTTTTCGAAGAGATACAGGCCAACAAGGACCAGCATTTTAGATTCCAAACTAATTGTGTTCTCCTCGTCGATTCTGATAACGGGAAGCCGTATGTAGTCATCGTTAGAAAACGCCTTCAATTATCCCATGTAGGCAATTTCTCCTCTGGAGAGTTAAAATAGTTGTATTTCCTAAATCACTATTCTCGATGCACTTAACAAACCATACTATATCGACGACCGAAGTGCGGAACCAAGTATCTCCATGCGATGATTCAGAATCTCTACTTCATTAAGCTACTCTACTCTACTCTACTATACTCTACTCTACTCTTCTTTATACTTTACCTCTCAATTCTACTTTATTTTCTCTAAGAGAAACGAGTCAACTTTATTGCAGCTCGAAATTTAAACAGAATATTTTGCTACCGGAGGAGAAATCAAGGAAGTATTCAAGAAATTATATTCACTTGTTTTCCAAAAAAAAACAATGATGTATGTCAGGAGGTCTGCAACGTCGAAAACGGAGATACATGGTTTCGCACTTTAACCATAGATTTAATACGAAATTGGGAAACAAGGAAAAAAGGACCGATTTATTCGTCTGAAACTAACATGCGATTGAATGCAAGGTTGAACGGTCTTCTCAAACACTGAAGCTCCTTGATGTCATGTCCGCGCTTACGTGGTGTCTGCTTTGACGAGTTCATCCAACTGTCATTTTTCTTCCGACAATCATGGAGGACTGACATTGAGACTAGGAAAAAACATGCTTTACGGAGACAAATCGATCGCTATCAAAAAACTTGTTTGTTTGTTTTTTTCCACAACAGAGTATGACATATGGACCCACAGTAAAATCATCACCCCGACAATAATTTCATTTGTCATCATTGGTTTTTGAGGTATAGAAAACATATTTCTAAGACTCTTTCACTCCTCAAAACACAAAATTATCATCATAGCAAGAAATTTTAATTTGTGTGGTACGGAAATGCAACTTAATAACAGGTTCATAAGTCATGTTACTCTTTTGTGACAAAGGCAGCTTTTCTTTTAGACTACACGAAAATGGTAGTCCGGTTTTCTTTTTTCTTTTTTTTTGCAAATTTCAGTAAATTTTTTGCCTTTTACGAAGCAAATTCCCTAAAAATTTCAAAAAAATCCGCAGAATAGTTCTCTTGTAATAATTAAATTGCTCAGCTTTTGGCAAAAGCTGATGTGCCTTGGTTCTTTTCTGCTGATCGCGGTCCAAATATTAGTTCCATATTGCAAAATCTATTCCTTTTCATGGTGATTTATTTGTCTCCGTGTTGCATCACGTGAGCTGAAATTAGTGCCTAGAATCATTTTGGCCGGCTCTTCCCTTCTCTTGAAAATCTATTTTATTTTTTCATGACTGAATTCCTTTTTTAGGTTACTGAGATCCCGTAGAGGCGCAACTGGTCCGGTATCTCCAGTAAAACTGAGGCAGACAGGTTTCATAGGTTGAGACGTTCGGACAAGCATCTGCACGGATATAACAGAACCTTGAGGAGATATCCACTTAGTGACGGTTGGTATGCAGTTTTTGGTGGAGATTTTGCCACTATCATGTTCACTCAATTAAGATCACTTTTAATTGGACCGCTTTTAGCAGGAAGGAACCAAGCCACATTAGCTATTGTCAAATTTAACTGGGCGATTTAATTCTTTACAAGAGAACGTTCGTGCAGATTCCCTCGAAAATTTGAAGGAATTCGCTACAAACTATGCAGAAACTCCACTGAAATTTTTACAAAAATTCACTCAACTGTTTTCAAACAACTATATTGTAAAATTAAATTTAGAAATAAGCTGATGTGGCCTGGTTTCTTTCTGCTCAACGCGGTCTAATTAATATAGTGATGAAGGTATATACAAAGCGAAATTCACGTTCAATCCTACGGGTTCGAAAAAAGATTTAGCTCATCAAAATTGCATCTAAAACAACTGCACGATGCACTTTTACATCTAAAACATCTTGACAACAATTGAATCAGTAAGAACGAAAACACACCAACTCGGAAAAATGGAAAGAATCAAGATACACACGAAACCGCACAGTAAATGAAGAAATTAGTCTAAGGAAGATATATTTGGTGCCGAAATACGAGCACTTAAAGGCATTTTAAAGGTGCAAGTAGGAACAGATGCGCTAACTTCAATGAATTTTATAAAAATTGACCGACTCTTATGAAAAACTAGCAATTTCGAGTTACCGAGTTGGTGTGTTTTCGAACTCACTGATTCAATCAGAAATACTTGGAAACATTTTACTGTAGTCGTCATCCGACTAACAATAAAAGTCACGAGGGTCGAACCGGCAACTGGCCTGGTCATCGGATCGGAAAACTTCGGGATGAAATTTCAAGAGTGCAAATGTCGAAAAGCGCAAACTTCAAGTCGTTTGCGCGAATAGTTTCCCTTGCGTTAGGTTAAATTAGTATATTACTGTGCTAAGGAAACACGCCGTACACTGAAAAATACCGGCGTTTTTACCAAGGTCCGTTGGTACCTTTACCATCTCACTTTTTTAACCAATTATTGGAAATTTTAGCAAGATAGACTGGTAAGCTTACCTAAAAACCGGTATTTTTACTGTTTTTTCTGGTAAGAATACCACTTTTATTGGTAATCAATTCCCGGTAACTGAGGCATTTTATCTCAGTAATTCTACCACAGTCAATAAAAAATATTGGCGTTTTTACCAAGGTCCAGTAAAATTACCAAGAAAGTTCAATAATTTTCCGAGATTTCTTGGTAAAATTACCAATTCCATAAATGGTAATTTTACCAAGAAAAAAACATGGATCAAATAGAAACCTGAATTCTTGGCAATTTTACCCTTTTCTTAGTAAATACACCGAGATTTTTTTTTCAGTGTATGACGTATGATCAGTCGAATGTTAATTGCCAAATTTTCTCCCAGAAAATATTCATCATTGAGGAAATTTATGCATATTTTTACTTGAAATTTCCGAATAAATTGGGATCAAAATTATCTTAAAATTTTGAAGAAACACATTTACAATTTCCCCATTAAATTCACCTTTTACGGAAGGAAATTTGGCAACGTCTGAAGGCTCATACGGTGGTTTTCCTTAGCATGGCAATATGAACGAAGAATTAACGACGGTCTGTCTTTTTGGATCCTGGTTTTATTGCTCCTTGTCGCGCCGCGGTCTAAGGTGAAGCGGTCAGTTTCTGGACAGTCAAAACGCCTTCAACTCCGTGGGTATGCAACGCGGACATCCCAGGAGCTCGAATAGTTGCATCCAGACGTTAGAATGAAATTCGTCTGATGATCGATCAATGTTGGGGCCAGCACTTTGCTGGGCGACTGTTTGCAAATTATACCAGGTCCGCTCAATCACTTGCTCAACATTTCGATTACTAAGATTAACAGGATAATTTAATAATTTGTTTCATTCGTTTTGATTACTCAGCAAATGTAAGTATTGAAACAGCCTCTGCAAAGATTTTGTTCCCAGTGCATCTAAATTCTTCAAAATTATGAAGGTGGTGAAAAAGTGCTAGGTGCACGCTATTTTAGGAGGAGAGCAATGCCATAAAATTCCAAAATTTTCAAGAAGAGTGAACAATTTGAGCTCTGATGAGTATCAGTACAAAACTAAGGGATGCGAGGAGAGAGCACAGCTCATGGCAGATGCTTTGGAGCACTAAGCTGGGGTCACGCCGGGATTGCTAGTTTTGGGTTTTTTTCGACCTCATCAGTAGATACCACCAGCGGACTGATTATTGAAATTGATAGACAAAACGATGGACAAAGAAGACATAGAGAGTACGAAGCGATCCCATAGGTGGAAACGGGTGGCTCTGATAGACTAAGGGAGAAAATGATGGACTAATTATCGGGTCTCTCGTGGATTGCCATTGGTTAGTCTATCACCCACGTCCTTTGCCCATTGCAACCACCCGCTTCCACCAATAGGATCCCTCCAAATCCCTTTTGTCTTCTTTGTCTATAGCTTTTTCTATCAATTTTAATAATCGACCCGCTGTAGCTGACAGTGGTATACTGCCGTGCTAAGGGAAATGGCGCATGAACATTCGAGAGTTGCAAAATTTTCTCCAATAAAACGCTTATCTTTGAGGAGAGTTACGTATATTTTCTTTTGGAATTTTCAGATAACAAAGGTCTAATTCCGAATAAAATTATCTTAAAAATTGAACGAACTTTTTCGAATGAATTAAAAATTCCTTAGCACGGCAGTACAGTACTGCCGTGCTAAGGAAGAACGCCGTATGAACATTCGAGAGTTGCCAAATTTTATTCAGTTAAATGTTTAATTTTGAGGAAAGTTATGAATATTTTTCCTTGAAATTTTCAGGGACTTCAGGTGAAATTTCGAGCAACATTATCTGAAAAATTGGAAGGAAAATATTCTTAAGTTCACCAGGAAATTCGTGTTTTATCAAGGCAAATTTGGCAACGCCTGAAGGTTCATACGGCGTTTTTCCTTAGCACGGCAGAGTACCACCTTATCACATACTGTTATACAATTATTACATTATGTTCAGGACTATTTTTTTAGTGTTATTCCTTGTTCCTGCAAATTATTTACATAATTCACATTTTCCAGGTAGATTGGCTGTTGAGCACACGTTTGGTGAAACCGGAGGCAAGGTAGCCCCATTCGATCCGCTTCATAACAGAGGAGGGTCAACGCTCACTACTGTAGTATGCGGTGGTCCCAGTCGTTACCCTGTCTTCTTCTCCTCGCCGTCTTCTCATTTTTCTTCGTCCTCGTAAAGGCTGATGACGTCGTCATTCAAAAAAGAGTAAGTCATTGTAACATTCAGTGGCGTGGCGTGCTTTGCTATTTATCGATTGATCTGTCATTTAAACCTATGGAAAAGGATCGATAAGTAGGGTGTTTGCAGCGGACACCTTAAAAATCGATGTACTGCGGATTCAAATGGGGAATTATCGAGAGTCGATCATTTACGCCACGCCACTGGTCACATTTGGACGTATTTCTGTCAAACGGAACGAAGCGCCATTGCGGGAGGAAGGGAGAGGGGGGCTTGGATTGAAGGGGGTTGCGGAACGCAATGTTCGTTCCGTCCTACACTTTGCCGTGCAACGTGAAAACGCCTTAAACGCCATTTCACATTTTTTGGAAACAATGTATCATAGCAGAAAATCTTATGTACCTTGGGTCAATGTTTTTATAGAATTCTTTCGGAAGTACTATCAAGAACTTAACCTGAAAATTTGAAGTACGTGGATAAAACAATTTTTATTTTATAAACTATTAAGTTCCAAAGAACGAGGGTTCAAGTTGCAACATTTTTACAGCATTGTGATAGCGCTGGCTCCTTTTTGCTAAATGCGATCCAATTAATGTAGTCAATATCCTTGTCATTAATTATAAAATTTAAGTGCTCATTTTTATTTGGTGGCCCTGAAAAGGGCCGTTTTAACGTGCGAGTGTGACGCGCTGAAATTTCAAATCACTTCGAGAGAGGCTTCACAGTAGGCGTGGAGTGTTTACTGTTCTTATTCCGGCGTTTCGCGAGACTGCCTTCTTTCTTGATTCGCTTGACGGTGCATAGACCTATCCGGAGTGCATTTGCGGTCCTCTCCAAAACTTTAGAGACATCCATCAAGGGTCCTCCATTCTTCTTCTCCTCTTCGAAGTGTTGAATGAGTCGGTAGACAAATTCTCGAGTTTGCGGATGCAGCACCTGTCTGTTCCCCTGATTTTCTTCACCTGCCGATGTCTCGGGTTGTGGAGTGTCTTCGGTGGACATCGGTTGTTCGAAATCCGGGATTCCATGTTCTCCATCAACTGCCATTATTACGGGTTGTCGAATGTCCTATGTGTGTCCTCCTGGTCGATGAGAATGCGAATGATAACCCACCGGCGACCTCTGGACTTTATATAGATCTGGATCTGTTTTCCTTCCGCCAATCAGGAGCCAGGAAGAGGAGTTTGGAATATTAAATCGGTGCGCTGCGCGATCACCGGGTTTTCCCGGGAGTCGAAGTTGGTCTCAGCGATCCGGTGCGGTGCGCTGAGTGCATGGCGCCGCCAACACGCGCCAGACGGACCTGTGTGAATCCCATTCCCATTTCGGCACAAGTCGTCGCTCTCTTCACAAAAGGACGTAATGACACTCCAATGTTGCCAAATTTCCTCGCGCGAATTTCATTTTAACTGGAGAATCTTGGGAATATCTTAAAGCTTGGTTACACGCTCAAATTTCCGTCAAATTCCGGTCAAAATGATGACCATGATGGCGGTCGAGAGTTATCTAGATTGATGAGTAAAATTAATTAAAACAGCGTGTTGATTGAAATAAGCATGAAATAAGCACGGTTGTGGGGAAATCAGATGAGCCCCACAGCTCCATCATCTACCATCAAATTTTTGCAGGCCGCAGAAATTTGATGGTAGATGGTGCGCACCAGTCATCATTTGATCGGATATTCATGGAAATTTGAATGTGTAACTAGCACATAACTGAAAATTTCGCCGATTTTTCTCTCGACCTCATTTAGAAATCAGAGGAATTTCTAAAAACAAATTTGCGCAGGTATAATCTCGGGAATAATTGAATTTTTTGAGTTAATTATGCAATCGAATCGGTGAGGACGAAAACACATCAACACGGTAACTCGACAATACTCAGTTTTTATTAAAGACAGTGATTTTTCATAAAGGCCGTCGAAGTTAAAGCATCTGCTTTAACTTGGACCTTTAAAGTATCCTCAAGTGCTTGTCTTTCGGCACCAAAAATCTTATTTTTAAACTAAACTCTTCACGAACTATGCAGTTTTGTGTATTCCATGATTATTTTCATTTTTTCGAGATGGTGTATTTTCGTTCTCACTGATTCGATTATGGAATCGAGTTACGTTTTTTCATTCCGAAACGACAAACCGTTTCTTATGGGATGGAAAAAGGGATTTTTGGCATATCTTTGCTCGGACCTTTTACGCTGGAAAAAACTCCGGCCGTGGAAGCCGTAATTACGGGCTATATAGACATGTCGCCCTTTTTACTTTCAACGAAAATAAAATAGTTTTTGGTTTCCTCCTAGAAAATAAGGTATTCTTTCAGACAGGGAAATCTTACTTTTCCGGTGAATGATGTCACATAAAACAAGCATGAGGAAGTCTTTTGGAGTTTTAAACAATATATGAATCGTTTACTCAAATCACATTTTGGACAACCCAAGTTCGCTCGAAATATATATTCAGTGGTGTGGCGTGCTTTACGATCTATCGATATTTCCCCATTTGAAGCTGTGGTAAATAATCAATTAATAAGGTGTTCGCTGCAAACACCCTATTGATCGATAATTTTCCATAGGTGTAAATGGTCGATCAATCGATTTATCGCAAAGCACGCCACGCCACTTTACAGATTGTAAAAAATGAAAATAATCCGTACGACTGGAAAAAAAGTCGCTTGGATCTAGAGTCCAGGCTCTTGAAAACAATGACAAGAAAAAGTACTCTTGATTCAATCGGATTTTTGCTTGAATCAAAAAAAAATCTGCTTAAATAAAGAGGCTTGGTTCTCGATTTAAACAAAAATCCGATTGAACCAAGAGTATTTGGACGGAGTTAAACAGAAAGGAACCAAGCCACATCGGGATCGAACCGAGAAAAAGAGGTTTAAAGTTTGGCTCCTGCATAAGACTCAATGTAAAAGATAAACTTCAAGTTCAATTTCTGCAAAATTTGCTTCGACAAAAACTTTGAATTTTTGGCGATAGATAGTAGATCAGTGATTGAGTTCAAAACCACTCATAACTCAATTTTTTCCAAAATGTGGGTTGGTTCCTTTCTGCTTAACTCGGTCCATTTTTTCTTTTCAATGTTTTTAAGAATCTGGACTCTAGATCCAAGCTACTCTTTCCAGTGATATTCCTAGATACGGGAGAATTGCCACATTAGTTGTCGAAAATCAAAATGTTTCCCTCTGAAGGCGCATTTCTGCGAGTTTGTAAGCGAACGAGGCATGGATAGGAGCCGCATCGCAACTTTGCCTGTTCGCTTCGCTTAATTTTTTAACTTAATTATTATGTGGGCGCATCGCGTCAGTCGATTATTGACGGGGACAGCCGTTCACAGCGAATAAACCTCAAGGGCTACAAAAGCAGGATCCGGAGGTTACACAGTTTTAAGTCTTGTTTCGTCGCTTGGAAATTCAGGATGAACCAAACTGGCAATCCGTGCTAAAAATGACGAGTGCGCTATTCAGAATTCGCCAACGCACATGAGTAGAACTTCCGACTTATATGAGTAGAAATCCCACTCATATGAGGAGAAATTCTACTCATATTACTAGAATATTCTACTCATAAGAGTAGAAAATTTTAACTCATATAAATTCAATTTTTTTTCATTCTTCAGAAGTGCTGTTTCTGACCAAGAGACACCGACATATCAAGTAAATTTGAAAAATAAAAACATTTTGTTCTTATGATTCTTTTGATGCGGTGACTAGTTTCTGAGATATCAGACACGGTAGATTCAACGCTGAACTCATGCGAGTTGAAGTTTCTCTTGTCATATGAGTTGACGATAACTGGGTGGAGAAATTCTGCTCTTATAAGTTAAATTCTATTCTTATCTGTTTAAATTCTATTCTTATCTGTTGAAATTCTATTCTTATCTGTTGAAATTCTATTCATATGACTTTGATTTTCTACTCATTTGTACTCACCATTTTTAGCAAGGAACCAATGGCGTGGCGTCCTTTGCTGCACATCCATTGATCTGCCATTTAACACTGTGGCAATAGATCGATGGACAGTGTGTTTGCGACGAATACCTTTATGATCGATTCTTCACCATAGCTTTAAATTACCGATGACTGCGATGATTCAAGCCTCACCCCTGGCAACTTATCTACTCTGCCGTGCTGAGGAAAAATGCCGTATGAGCATTCAAATGTTGCCAAATTGCCTCTCGGGAACCATTCATTTTTGAAGAACTTTATGAATATTTTTCCTTTAAATTTTCAGGCACTTTAGATCAAATCATGAGTAAAACCCTCCGTAAAATTCGCAGAAAAATATTTACAAATTTTCGAGATTTATCGAGGGAGATTTTGCAACGCCTGAAGGCTCATACGGCGTTTTTCCTTAGCACGGCAGTACTGTCTCTGTTTAAGTAACCGTTGCTTTGAAAAGTGAATTCTGCCCTCCGCACCGCAGTCTACTAAAAAATATAGTGTTTTGATGTTTTCAGGCATATAATCAAGAGCTAGAAGAGGCAGTGTACGACCCAAAAAAGAAGAAACCCTTCTGCAATGCTTTCACAGGTACTCAAAATATCATTCACATTCATGGAAAAACCTAATTCAAAAGAGGTTTCACGAAATCATGCGTTTTCAGATCGTTGCACAAAAAAAGTATGCAAAGAGTAACCAGACGCATAATTAACACTGGCAGGAATCTAGTACTGGTTACGAGATTTCGGTAATCACGTTTTATCAGGAAATTAGTGACGCTTTTTTATCCGCGCGTCTAGATCGTTAGCGGATCCAGCAAATTGGCAACATTGTTTTCTCCACTTTTTTTTTCTTTTTTTTTCAAATTTCAATTTACGGCTTAGTTTTTCCACAATATTCTTCGAAACGGAAGCGGCCGATGGTGACTCAAAACGATGTGGCATGTGGCAACACTGTTTTGCTCCATTTAAACCTATGGAAATGTATCGATTCTTGTAGAGGCCAGGTGTTCTGACAAGAATCGACTATTTAACATAGGTTTAAATGGAGGAAATACGGTGTTTCCCATTTGCTGGATCCGCCGATGCGCACAGATCAAATTAACAAAGTCGGTAAACGCATACCTCAGTTTGTGATTTTACAGATTTTGAGTCGGGTTCAATTTATTGCATGACCTTCATTTTCGCCGAGGAAAATGTGAGAAAGGACTTTGTACCCAAATTCGAATTTCCGACTTCGAAGCAAAATTAGGTTTCAAAAATTTCCCTCATCAGAATAAAATAATCTAAAACTTTGCCTGCTTTTATCGAAAATTAGACATCCTCTATTCCCAATGAAGTTGGTTTTATTTCACGAATCACTTTCCATTATTATTTGGCTTCTCACTAATTTTTGTTAACTCTATTCTAAAAATTCAACACACATTTGAAGCTGGAATATTTTTTTTTTTTTTTTTTTTTTTTTTTTTTTTAATTTTCTGCGGAAAAATGAAGTATTAACGAGGATTCTATATCGTCACAATAGAGATGCCCTTACCAACGCTATGCCAAATTTGAAAAATGAGTTTCACGCAAAACATTTTCACCCCAATTTCTGCTGCCGCTCTGAGGAAGAACGTCGTAAGAACCTTCAGGCGTTGCCAAATTTCCTTTGATAAAACACGAATTTCCCGGTAAACTTCTAAAGATTTTCCTTCCAGTTTTTCAGATGATTTGTTCGCAATTTCACCTGAAGTTCCCGAAAATTTCAGGGAAAAATATACCTATCTTTACTAAAAAATAAACATTTTATCGGGGGAAATTCGGCAACTCTCGAATGTTCATACGGTGTTCTTCCTTAGCATGACAGTGTGCTGCCGTGCTAAGGAAGAACGCCGTATGAACATTCGAGAATTGCCGAATTTCCCCCGATAAAATGTTTATTTTCGAGGAAAGTTATGAATATTTGTCCTTGAAATTTTCAGGAACTTTAGGTGAAATTGCAAACAAAATTATCTGAAAAATTGGAGGGAAAATATTCATGAGTTTACCAGGAAATTCGTGTTTTTTCAAAGGCAATTTGGCAACACCTGAAGGTTCATACGGCGTTTTTCCTTAGCACGGCAGTACGGGGGTGTTTCTTTGAAATCGTATTACGCGCTATCACGGCATGCGGATATTTTTTATGGGTATTTTTTAATTGTTAATTAGCAGTCACAGGAGATCAAAGCTTGGGGTAGTATGCCGTTGCACTTTATTTTTAATAAAACAGCGCGACGTGGGAGAAATTGAACAAATAATGATGCTTTCCATCAGTGAAGCTAATTGGGCAGCTCATTAAATGAGGCTGACATTCGGTTTAAAGGGAGAAAAATGGGTCCATTGCATTTGACACGAGATGAAGCCAAATGAGTGAATTTATTCCATGCAAATCACAAAAGTCACGTTCAGCATATCAAGGCCTATCAATCGCCGCGAGTGAAAGACGAAAGCCAATGGAGAGCCTTGATTTCGATGTATCGACGTCAATGGATCTAAATCAAGACTCTCCATTGGCTTTCGTCTTTCACTCTCAGAGATTAATCGTGGTGTGTATCAAGGCCTTCAGAGAGGTCTAATCCTACCCTTTTATTTACTGTTAGACGTATTCACGATGAAATGAATTACATATAAATTAATCAGCTCAAAAAGAAGTATAAGGCACGCATGTTCTATACGCGGTGGTTTGAAGCAAAAAAAAAAAGAAAAAAAGCGTCGAAAATGTACCCTAATTTCGAGATATCGCATTAGAAATTTCCATAGTAACTGCGAGTTTTCTATTGCATTTGGTCCGATTTTTTTAATTATTAGTCCATTGAATCGGTGTTGCTCTGATCACCTTCTTTTTTCGTTCGATTCTTATCGATTGAATACATACCCTCTCGTTACATACAGACTACCTATCATATACTCTTTTTTTGTAACCGAACCATTCGCCTTCAGCTGCGTCTGCAGCAATTGTTGTTACGAATATGTTGTGCGTGCTGATTTTAGTACATTACATACTCAACTCTCTGAAGGCGTTTTATGTGCGCAAGTAGCGCGATCTGCCGGAGAAGCAACGAAGTAGCGATTCATTCATTCCATCTTGCTTCTGTTGCTCTCCGACAGGTTGCTCTACTTTCGCACATTAAACGCCTTCAGAGAGTCAAGTATGTAATGAGCTCAGATCGCCACGCTCAACATATTCGTAACATCAATTGCTGCAGACCTAACTGAAGGCGAATTGAAAACAACCGTTTAATACACCGAAAATTTGATACTTTGTATTCGCTTTCACGGCGGTATAGGAAGAATTTTTTATATTTGCCTCAGCTAAATTTTGAGAGAGGCTTATTGTTAAAAATGTGTGTATTGTGTCAGTGGCGAGGCGTGCTTTGCGATATATCGGTTGTTCTGCTATTTAAACCTATGGTAAAGAATCGATTATTAAGGTGTTTGCTGCGAACAACCTGATTATCGATCCTTTTCCATAGGTTTAAATTACATAACAATCGATATATCGCACAGCACGCCACGCCACTGTATTGTGTTTGTTCATAGGGTGCGGGAGGAAACGGTCCGACGAGTCGATGCCCCTGATAGATCTGAACGCTGAGCCAGTCGAGGAGATAAGTAGGCAGATCCTCTCCGAGGCCAAACTCTGGGAGGCCATCCAAGAGGCCAGGCTCGAGCTCCTCAAGAAGCATGCTGCCCTTGAAAAGGTGAATTTTTTCGAACTCCTTTATTTACACCATGAAAATGGGAATGGACCGGGGACAAATGGATCGAGTCCATCAGAAAGGCACTAACCCACGTTTGGAACTTTAGTTAAAATGGAGTTGTTGCATGTATGAGGGATTTCCGATTCCCGGCATCTGAAAATGTTTTTCCCTCAGGAAAGCTTGTTCTTTACGAGATTTCCGAATTTTCTGGGAGATGGAGATGTTGCATGTGTGAGGAATTTGCGATTTGACTATTGCTTCTAAAGTAAAAGTTTGCAAGAAACACGATGGTGCCACTGGTTGTCTCTGAAATCAACTCCCAAGCTCAAAAAAAGCTTTCAAGATGAGGCCAAAATGGAGGGGATAGCCCACGCTATCCTGAGAGTCCACCTCTACATCAAGACAAACTCCCCATGCACTCTATTCCTATTGCAAAGATAAGAAGCAAATACATTGACAGGGCTACCACTTTATTTGGGGACTCCAAAACTGAAAACCCGGTAACCCTGTCAATGTATTTGCTCCCTATCTTTGCATGTGGAGTGTTTGTCTTCATGTAGAGGTGGACTTTCAGGATAGCGTGGGATATTCCCTCCATTTTGGCCTCAATTTGAAAGCGTTTTTTGAGCTTGGGAGTTGATTTCAGAGAAAACCAGTGGCACCATCGTGTTTCTCGCGAACTTTCACATAAGACTCAACACTCAAATCGCAAATTCCTCACACATGCAACATCTCCATTTCCCAGAAAATTCGAAAATCTCGTAAAGAACAAGCTTTCCTGAGGGAAAAACATTTTCAGATGCCGGGAATGCGAGATTTTTGATAATTCAATTTCCAGGAGGATTGAAGAGTGATGAGAAAAATGGAGGTCATCTCCGAACTAAGCCGCTAAAATTATGAGGGAGTATCACCATCAAGCACACAAAGCAAATCATTTTTGCATCCTTTCAATCGCAAGCCAAACGAGGAAGATTCAATTGAAGATAAATGCGCGGATTATACCTTCCGACCGGAAAAACCTCGATATCAGACACATTTCTCGCCAAAACACCAAGCCCTAGCCGTGCGCCTTTCAGGGCACTTGAGAGACTTGTGAGCATTTTTCATCTTCTTCTTTCTTCAAAATGGATTCGTCATAGTATATTTTGAGCAAATTCAACCTTAACTTATATCAAATTTCAAAAATATGAGACATCCTCACGCTCGTTGTTCACGGCGCAGAGATACAAATATTCGTGCTTGATGAATATCCGTGTTGCATATACGCAAAATTGAAGGCGCTCTGGCTTGCGGCAAAAACTCACAATGATCCGCTTCATGCTGCTAGTGAGGTGTTGCTCAGATTTGAAAGAAAAGTTAAAAAACGAGACCGCATAACGGAACTCTTATTTTTACCTATGTTGACATGTGATTTTCTTCTTCCTTATGTGGTTTCCGGACATTTTGTCAACGATTTTTTTTCCGCGCACCTTTTTTGTCCAGTAGTTTACGCCCACACGTAAAATGAGCAACGGTGACTTGGTCCAAGCGTTATATTTTAGTCGGTATGTAAAATTATATTGACAATATGGAAATGAGAAATTGAGAGAGAAGGAGGTGTTGTTATGGTTGCTCATTTTTTAAATGAAATGTTATTACTTTCTCTTTTTGAATCATCTTTTTAAACTGTCACTGGTGAATATTTGGTTTTATTTCTATCCTTAAAATATTTGACCTAATATATATTTTATATGTGTATAGGTACTTTTTTTATTTTTTTAATTTTTTCTTTACAAAATTATTACTTTATTTTGAAAACATTCATATTTTTAAAACGTGACAAATATTTGTAAAACCTCTTCCAAGCGACATTAATCTCAATGAGCCGCAGTTGTGCCGACAGAAACTGCAAAAATGAATAAAAGAGGGGAAAAAACCAAAAAGCACGCAATCTTCAGATTTAAGCCATTTGTACATCGATCTTTTAGAGTCAAATACGTCAAATTTTGAGCGTTTGGTTGCGGGTACACCTCGTTGCAGCACAATAAAAGCACAAAATGTAAAAGAAAAAATTAAAGTGCTTTAGAAATCATTAAAGTTGACACGGAACTACCAATATTTAAAAAGCACACATTATATTATTCTTCTCCTTAGAGAAATTGATACATATTTTATTCACATCAATTTAAATGAGAATAATCAATGCGGGGGTGCAAACATTTCAGAATCATGAGTTAAAAAACGCTGACTATGCGAGTACAAATATTAAAGCTTAACAGAGCGGAGCGGCAGCGTGCTGCCTGCGCGAGAGGCTCACTGGCGCCTACAAACCTAAGTGGATACTTGACGCATTGCACAATGCTTGAAGTATCCACTTAGGTTTGTAGGCGCTAATGCGCGTCACGCGCTGGCCGCCCGCCCGCTGTGCGACGGCGCCTGAAGCAACTATTTCACAACAGAGGTGTTGCACAGTATTATACGAAATTGAACGTACTAAGAATGACAGGCATCCTTTAAAAGTACAGATCTTTCCTCGCAAAATAAATCAAGATACTTATCGTACACTGGAAAAATCTAAGAGCCATTAGCTGAGGCAAATATAGAGGTTTATCTGGTTGAGATTTAGCAAGATGGGAATTTCTTGAAAGATAATTAAGCCCTGTTACACCAACAGTGAGAGTAGTGTAGAGAGTTTTAGTGAATTTTGTCTCATGGAATTGACGCTTCCCCATTTTTACCAAAACTCTCAACTATGTTCTATTCTCCGTTGGACCAAACAGACAAAACAAAAAAACGAGCAAACCCTCATCCTTCCAAGACATTATATATTTTAATCCAAAAACGTCGTGAGCAATTGCCGTTTGTATTTACATGTGGGCCAATTAACTTTGGGTCTCAACTGGCACTTGGACCAAAACTCCCGTGCCGAAAAAACGCGTGGACGTAAATTACTGGAAAAAAACAGGTGCGCGGACAAAAAATCGTTGACGAAATGTCCTATAACCTTTTAAAATTAGTTACATACTATTAGTTCTGTTAGATTAGATTTGAAAAAATTGAAATAAAGTAAACGAAATGAGGAGTGACTGGGCTTTATTTTGCAATTAGGGACTACTATTTGGACCGCGTTAAGCAGAATGGAACCAAGCCACATCACCGACTGTCAAATATAATTGGGAAATTCAATTTTTTACAAGAAAAATTTTGTGCGGATCCTTCGTAAATTTTACGGAATAAGATTCGTACTTCGCCGAAAATTCACTGAAATCTGCACAAAAATTCGCAAAACCGTTTTCATGTAAAAAATGTAATTGCCCAATTAAAGGCAAAAGCTGATGTGGCTTGGTTCCTTTCTGCTTGACGTGTCCAAATGATAGCTCCTTCTTGCAAAATGGACCACTAGACATATAGGGGTGATCGAAATTCCCGACTTGAGCGCAATTCTTACGGGATAGGGGAAAAAGGTGGCCAAATTGCATGTAGATTACGGAAAAAATTGTCCGCAGCCGTAATTCCAACGGGAACATGGCGCTCAAGCCCTTCGAATATTTTCATGGTTAAATTGCCAAAAAAATCAGGTTTTTTCTTATTCGGGTCGCTGGAGGTGCCCTCAAACACGCAATTTCATCATCAAGCACATGTTTTCCCATCTATCTTTTCACGAGGAATCGATTTTACTGGTTTTCAAAACGATATATCGATGTTTTCAAACGATATATCGATTTTTTATTCGATTTTTACGAAAAATTTGATAATTTTTAGCACTAATTGAATCAAATTCTATTAATTAGTGATATATAGTCAAAAGTTTTAATGTGTAAGTAAACTAGTGCTCATATAAACTTTTATACACAAGGCACTTACCCTCAAAGCAGTGTATACTGACCATTCTTCAGTTTGGGTACTAGATGATGGCCGGAATGCCGGGATTCTTGGCGTCGCAGCGATCGCGTTTCATGGCCCATCAGTCGAAAAAACATTTTTTTCGAAATCCAACGAGGGGGAGTGAAGGTGAGTTGCCTTTTGTCATCAAATGACGAGGAAAAAATCCTGGCTCCATAGGACAACACTTTCATCGAAAACATTAGGCTCGAACTTCCAAAATCTCAAATTTTCGTTTTTACCAAGTTTTTTTTCTAAGATAATTTCTGGATGATAGAAAAGACACAACTGACACGTACCATGCGTGTTTTCATAGATAATTTGAGTCAAGGAATCGATTTTTGTGGTTGAAAAATAAAGATTTCAATTTAAAGTATCGTTGCTTGCGATACTTTGTCTGAAAAAGCGATTTTTTTGTGTACATCCCAAGAAATTTTGATCATCCATGTAAGCCTTTGATAAATCGACATTTTGACTTCAAAAATAGATTCCTCGTGAGAACATTCAAAGGGTTACGGGGTTACACCTGCTTAAAGTACGTAGAAATGTTGACAACTAAGGTATACTATTCACAAAAGTTTAAAAAAAGATCCTCAAAATAGGAGTTCTTGCCGTTTTTTAGTCCACATACATCTCGATTCAGTCCTTAAATAACTTTATTTCCCTTAATGATACAGAAATTTTAGCGCCTTGCAAAAAGATAGATCATAAAAAGTAGTATTTCTTCAGTCTTGTTTCAACTCTGTAAGTCAAACGGAACTGGAGATATGCCCATTCCGTGAATGCCGATCTTATCGAAATTCACCTGAGAACCTCAACTCTACAAGGCCGCCATGGATACCAGGATGGTCAAAAAAATGTTAAAAATGAATCTTAAGCTTCCATTGGAGAGCTTAAGAGGTAACCTAATTATAAAAAAAGTCAGGGTCGGTTAAGCAAGAGTCCCTGGATGATTTCGCGTGGATTGACCCATCAGCTAATTCAGTTTGAAAACTCGTATGAATTGTACCTTAGTTGTCAACATTTCTACGTACTTAAGCAGGTGCAACCCCGTTACCCTTTGAATGTTTTTGCACGAGGAATCTATTTTTGAAGTCAAAATGTCGATTTATCAAAGGCTTACATTGATGAATCAAAATTTCTTGGGATATACACAAAAAAATCGCTTTTTCAGACAAAGTATTGCATGCAACGATACTTGAAATCGATATCTTAATTTTTCAACCACAAAAATCGATTCCTTGACTCAAATTATCTACACTATGGAAAAAAACACTTTGTAACTAGAGTCCAGACTCTTGAAAATTTTGACGAGAAAAAAAAATCTTGATTCAAGCAGATTTAAGCTGAAATCAAAAGGAAATCCGCTCAAATTAAGAGGCTTGGTTCTTGATTTAAGCTTAAATCTGATTGAATCAAGAGTATTTTTTCTTGTCGATGTTTTTAAGAGTCTGGACTCTAGATCCAATGTGTTTTTTTTTTCCAGTGTATGAAAACACGCATGGTACGTGTCAGTTGTGTCTTTTCTATCATCCAGAAATTATCTTAGAAAAAAAACTTGGTAAAAACGAAAATTTGAGATTTTGGAAGTTCGAGCCTAATGTTTTCGATGAAAGTGTTGTCCTATGGAGCCAGGATTTTTTCCTCGTCATTTGATGACAAAAGGCAACTCACCTTCACTCCCCCTCGTTGGATTTCGAAAAAAATGTTTTTTCGACTGATGGGCCATGAAACGCGATCGCTGCGACGCCAAGAATCCCGGCATTCCGGCCATCATCTAGTACCCAAACTGAAGAATGGTCAGTATACACTGCTTTGAGGGTAAGTGCCTTGTGTATAAAAGTTTATATGAGCACTAGTTTACTTACACATTAAAACTTTTGACTATATATCACTAATTAATAGAATTTGATTCAATTAGTGCTAAAAATTATCAAATTTTTCGTAAAAATCGAATAAAAAATCGATATATCGTTTGAAAACATCGATATATCGTTTTGAAAACCAGTAAAATCGATTCCTCGTGAAAAGATAGATGGGAAAACATGTGCTTGATGATGAAATTGCGTGTTTGAGGGCACCTCCAGCGACCCGAATAAGAAAAAACCTGATTTTTTTGGCAATTTAACCATGAAAATATTCGAAGGGCTTGAGCGCCATGTTCCCGTTGGAATTACGGCTGCGGACAATTTTTTCCGTAATCTACATGCAATTTGGCCACCTTTTTCCCCTATCCCGTAAGAATTGCGCTCAAGTCGGGAATTTCGATCACCCCTACTAGACAAGGTACGAATTTAAGCATTCTGATACATGTTTCTTAGCCAGAATTTCACGTAGAACACGATTCGCGCAACGAAAATTACTGAAACTAACTCCTAACGAAGATATTAAAGTTTTTATTTCTCATTGGTTACGAGGAATTTGAACTGCCCGCTCAAAAGAAACTCAAAGCTCTACGTGAGTCAAATCGCGCACTATAACGGTTTCAGCAAGCTTCACAATCGAGCAATGTTCATTTCCCACCATGTGTTGTTCAAACTATAAGCAATTTGCTATAGCTGAGCCAAAGCGTCAAGATTTAGGTTGCCAGATTTTAATATTGCAGAGACTGACATGATAACGTTTAGCGCGCGATTTGAATTACGCCGAGCATTGAGTTTTCATGAGCGGGTGGTTTGAATTCACGCATCAAGAGTTATGGAATAACTTCGTAAGGAGTTGATTTTGGTAATTTTTGCTGTGCGCATCGTGTTTTACGTGAAATTTTGGTTTAGAAGCATGTATCAGAATGCTGAAATTCGTACATTGTCTAGTGGTCCATTGCCGAATTAACTTTGGCAAAAGCTGATGCGGTTTGGTTCCTTTCTGCTTGACGTGTCCAAACGATAGCTCCTTCTTGCAAAATTGGGTCAAACTAGGCGACATAAAATGCAGTTTGGCTGTTTTCCCGTAAATTAGCCCAATGAACCATATCATAACTGAAGTCATTTTTATTTACATGGGACTAACTTTTGTCCACTTTGTTTGATAGTTGCAGAACGCAAGATTGGAAGCGAAGGGCCTGCCGTTCACGATGATGCGACGTCGACGAACAAGCTATAAGCCGTATTAAGAACTCTATTTTCTATCTTCATAACTGTCTAAATGTCTTGAATTTTGTCTTGATTTTGTTCTCCCATTCATACTCATCTCACGAAACCTCATCGTACGAGCGCCATATAAAATATTGCGAGATACAAGTAAAAACCCGACACATCTCACGGGACAAAGATTTTTACATCATTTCGAAGTAAATAATAAGAAACAGTAAATGAAGGCATCTTTAGTTTACCTTGTTAGGGAAATGGGTCAGTACTGCCGTGCGAAGGAAGAAAGCCGTATGAACTTTAGAAAGTTGCCAAATTTCCTTCAATAAAATGTTTATTTTTGAGAAAAGTTACGGATATTTCTCCTTGAAATTTTCAGGAACTTAATGTGAAATTGCAAACAACATTATCTAGAAAATTGGATGATAAATATTTTTAAGTTTACCAGGAGAATTGTGTTTTGGAAATGAAAATGTGGCGACACCTGAAGGTTTATAAGGCGTTTTCCCTTAGCACGACGGAGTAAATGTATTTCAAATTGCACATAGTGTAAAATGCATTTCGTTTTCTCTGTCGTCGGAACAAAATGCTGCGTAAAATACGATTAATAAACCTAAAAGATCGAGTTCAACATTTTTTCCAAAGATTAATATTTTCAATTTTGTTGTTGCATTAGAACATATGACATGATTCAGTGATTTACTCGTTTTTACTATCGATGGAAGATGGAAAATTCCGTTAATTTAATGCGATTTTTTCATGTGTCTTCTTTCATTTTGTTCCATAGCTTTGAGAATTCTCACGAAACAAAAATATGCACGTTGAAATTTCCCCTTCACTCGTGTCAATACTCAACAGACCTTTTATACATTCTAACCGAATCTGATGTTTTCTAATATTGTACCCTTAAGTGATGCCACCTATTTTTATTTTAACTTTTCAAAATTGATTGAGCATTTTTCCCCAAATTATTTTGATTAAACTTGAAGGTTTCATAAATTCCGTGTGACTCATTATTTGTGAGATGAGTTCAATGTTACTCGAAGTAAATACAGTTTACAGTACAAGATTCGAAAATTTTCAACCTTTTTTGAAAAAAATCGTCAAACAGAAAAAAATATTTAAATGAATGATTAGAATTTTATTTATGACATCTAGGACTAAGTATTCTGATGGAACAATAAACACGGTGAAAAGCACGTTATGAATGTTTCTAGGAGTTGAACTCCCCAAAACATGTTACAGCTGCAGTTTTTGTTGACTCTCTAACCCTTGTCTTCTCTTTTTCATGTTTAAACTTTTTACAAAAATAAATGCGACTTCCGTCCTAGCTATGGGTTGGCTCCAACATTCCTTTTTTTGAAACGCCTAAAAATATACAAAATATAAAATTCAGTGTACAAAATTTGGGAATAATTTTCTCACAGTGGATTGAGTCAATGGAGAGGTCGGACAAAATTTGGAAACTTTAAACGCTTATAACTCCGTTCATACAAAACTTTAAGGTCCCGGAAGTGGTTCCACTGATTTCCTCGTGAAATCGTCTACATTTAACATCCCTTGAAATTTAAAATGTGATGAGTTAAATACCAAAATGTGCTGTTTTAGTAAACAATGGCATGTCCAACCTCTATAATTGACTCGATCCACTGTACGGCTGAACAAAGCTGTTTGAGAAACAATGGCGGGGTAGGTTCTCCAGAAATCAAGCGCTTCTGCGGGTTGATTATTGAAATTGATAGACAAAGCTATAGACAAAGAAGACAAAAAGGATATGGAGGGATCCTATTGGAAGAAGTCGGTGGTCACAATGGACATAGAATGTAGGTAATAGACTAACCCGCGAGAGATCCTATATTTAGTCCATCGTTTTCTCCCTTAGTCTAAAGGAGCCACCCGTTTCAACCAATAGGATCGCTCCATACTTCCCATGTCTTTTTTGTCTATGGCTTTGTCTACCAATTTCAAAAATCAGCCCGGTGATGAATATTTTTAATCCTCGATTCCCCACCATTATCTCATTAATATGTAGGCATGACTAGAAACCTTCCTATTTAAGTTAAGCTAGAAGAGTAAGTTTTATGAAATAAAGTTTAATTCATATTGAACACCGAAATTTTGGTACATTCGACCGATTTTTATCTTTTCCATTGCAAGCTGGTAAAAACCCAGGTACTTAAAAAATATACCCGTAATTATTATATCTACGTCCTTAAAACTTAGGCAGACCTAATTATGTTTTGCTAATCTGTGAGATTTTATCTAATTATTTTGCGACGAACATTTAAGATCATCAACATTGCAAAATCAAAGACGATTTTTAAATTCACGCAACAGTAAAGTCGATATTTCTTCGAAGGAAGAGATAGAAGCTCTCAGCAGTTGCAGATATCTCTCTCCCACCGTGAGCTGTCTCTCTCGCACTTATCGATACCCCATAAAAGAAACTGGGATCAAGTTATAGCTTTTATTATTAAACTTTCAAAGCTCGCGTTTGTTTCTAGGGATTCCAGACGTATGCTGCTAGAACTTATGAGTATTAGAATTTAAAATATCTATTGTGATATTTAACTGATCACTGATTTTGGAGTCGGATTTTAGCAGCGCGACGTGATGGATTTTTTCGGAACTACAGCTGAAGATTCACCATATGTGCTGGTTACACGCTCAAATTCCCATCAATTCCGATCAAATGGTGACTGGTGCGCACCATCTACCATCAAATTTCTGCGGCCTGCAAAAATTTGATGGTAGATGATGGAGCTGTGGAGCTCATTCTTAATCTAATTTCCACACAACCGTGCTTATTTCAATCAACACGCTGTTTTAATTAATTTTACTCATCAATCTAGATAACTCTCGACCGCCATCTTGGTCATCATTTTGATCGGAATTTGACGGAAATTTGATCGTGTAACCAGGCCATTAACCAACATGCCTCACGTCGATCCTGGATATGTCCCTAGGGTTTTTTCCTCGCGCGGAGCTTGCGTAATTGCTCCTGTTTCAGTCTCGCCTCGCGTTGTCTGGCGTAGATAGCAGCGTTCAACACATTGCGGATGCCCGTAATGGCATAACGGCAGGTGAGTGCGTAGCTGCTTCTGTGTCCGGCACCTTCGATCGGGGTGAGACAATAGCACATTGGGAAATACTCTGCGTAGAAAAAGAAATTAGAAAATAACATCAGAAAATTCGGCTCGAAATGTATGTAACAAGGTGGAAAAATAGTGCTGGGTTCACACTATTCGTCGTTTCCAGCACGAAGTAACGTAACTCCATTCCAAGGTTGCCAAATCGACTCGAACAATTGATTTATTTTACAAAAATGTACGTAAGCAATTTTCATCCAAAATTGGCCTGTTTTTTGCTTAAAATCTGGAGAAGAATCAGGGAATTTTTTAGTCAGAAATGCCCAAGATTCTCTTGATTAATTGGCAATTTGCGAGGGGAAATTTGGCAACATTGAAATGGAGTTACGTTTTTTCGTCCAGGAGACGACGTATTTGGCGCACTGAGAAAAACCATGGCTTAAAAACTAATTGGACGTATTTATGCTAAAAAGGAACTACACTGCCGTGCTAAGGAAAAATGCCGTACGAGCATTCAGACGTTGCCAAGTTTCCTCTGATAGAAATCGAATTTCCTGGGAAAATTGCGAATATTATTTTCCAAAATTCTCAGACAGTTTTGAGCGCAATTTAATCTAAAAAATCTGAAAACTTTGAGAGAAAATATGCATGAATGTTGTCAAAAATATATGCTTTATGAAGGGACATTTGGCAACTCTCTAATGTTCATACGGCGTTCTTCCTTAGCACGGCAGTTTATCATAGGGTTTGCGTACAACATAGTTCATTTTAGCATAATTAGTGGTTCACATGGATCACCACTAATACATATAGTAATAAAGGCAACATACATTAATAGCACATATACCTTAATGATGGTACGAGATACCTTAGTATGCTGCGGTGCTAAGGAAGAACGCCGTATGAACATTCGAGAGTTGCCAAATTTTTATTTATGAAACATGTATTTTGGACGCAATTTGAGTCTATTTTCCCTTGAAATTTTCAGATATTTTAGATCAAATTCCATACATAATTGTCTGACAATTTTGGGGGAAAATATTTACAATTTTTTCAGGAAATTCTGTTTTTTTTCGATGGAAATTCGGCAACGCCTGAAGGCTCATACGGCGTTTTTTTTAGCACGGTAGATTTGTACATTGAGAAAGGCTGGCTCAAACCCCCCTCTCCCCTAAGGGCGTTACGTAATACCTGCAGCTCTGAGACATCTACTGCCGTGCTAAGGAAGAACGCTGTATGAGCTTTCAGACGCTGTTAAATTTCCTGTGATAATGTTTGGATTTTCCAAGACACCTGTGGTTATTTACCTTCCAATCTTACGGTGAATTTTATATATAATTTGAAAATTAAAGTAATTTTTTTAATTAAATTAAAGAAAATTAAAGTAATCTGAAAATTTCAGGGAAAAATATTCATAAATATGTTCAAAAATACAGATTTTATCGGGGAGACTTGGCAACAAGTGAATGTTCATACGCCGTTTTTCCGTAGCAGGGCAGTCTAGGGATGAAGAGAGTACCCTGCTGAACTTATGTGCGTGTTTTCGATTTTTCCGAAGTCACTCAGAAGTTGCGACTGGCAATTGGCTAGCGCATTGGACGATCGCCGATGCGATCAAAGTTCGATCCTGGCGGCTAATGCCTGATTTTTAACAAGTTTCCACATTTCCAACCCAAAGATTTGATCAATATAACCCAGGAAAAAAACTATCCAACAAATATTCATCGTACGTATAGGTTACTTGATGCTCTTCTACCCATATATATATAAGAGTCGCTTTTATAGCGCTCTTTGGCGCTGTGCGACGCCTACTCGCCACAAAGCTCGGTCTTCCCACAGGTCATCAGGGAGTTGACAATCTCTTATCTCATTTAACACCCCCTGTCGCCAACCTCTCACTGGGCGTCCCCTACGTCTCCTCCCAGGAGGAACCCAATCAAGCATCTTTTTTGGCAGCCTCTCTTCCGTCATCCTATTGACATGACCATACCAAACAAGTTGTTTGGTCATGACGTCGAACACGATGTCATTTTCGACTTCCATTATCTGACGCACTCTATCATTACGGACCCGATCTCTCCTAGAAATTCCTGCCGACCTTCTCCAGAAATCCATCTCCGTTGCTCTTAGCATATCCTGTGTCCGTTTCTTCAGCTGCCAAACTTCACATCCGTATGTTAATATACTTTTGACTACAGCGTTGTATATCCTCCTCTTGTTATCTTTGGAAATCCGCTGATCCCAGAGGATTCCATTTAACATCGCTATAGCCTTCCTTGCTAAGGTGTTCCTTTCCCTGATAGCTTGATCCGTCCTTCCATCCTGGGTCAACCGCACTCCCAAGTACTTAAAGTGCTCGCAGCCTTTGATCTGCTGCCCATCCTCCAACTCAATGCTTTGCTGATCACCGCCAAAAGTCATCTTCTCAGATTTGGATATGCTGACTTCCAGACCCCACTTCCGATACTCTTCTACTAGCTTGCGCATCATGTATTCCGCGTCATCTTGATCTTGAGCAACCACCACCTGGTCATCAGCAAAGCACAGAGTAAACAGAGTTTCGAGATCACCCAAGGGGACACCCATACCAGAGCATTTCTTTTTCCATTCTTTTAGCACGCACTCGAGATAAATTTTAAATAATGTTGGCGACAAACAACATCCCTGTTTTAAACCCTTAGTCGCATAAAATCCCGCTGACAACCCCCCATGGCACTTAACTTTGGTAAAACTCCCTTTATAAAATCGCTTAACAGCGTCAATCAACCCCCCGTTAAAATTCGATTTTTCCAAGGCCTCCCAAAGTTTCACCAACGGCACGCTGTCATACGCCTTCTGGAGATCCACAAAAATTAAATGCAGTTCCTGAGCTACGGCCATTTTCTTCTCAATGACCTGGACAATAACAAAGAGGTGATCTATCGTAGACCTGCCAGCTCTAAAACCAGCCTGCTCCTCTGCTTCGTGATCCTGCCATTCGTCCTCGATCTTCGCTTTCAGTATCTTCCCGTACACTTTGCTTATTGTCCCGGTCACTGAGAGCCCCCGGTAGTTGTTACAGTCGTCCTTTCTTCCCTTCTTTTTGTAGATGGCCTTGATCCAGGACTCCTTCCACTCCCTTGGTACCTCGTCACCCCTGATGCATTGCTGCATCAGTTTCCTGAGGCACTCAAAGAGCTTGGCAGTCCCGTACTTGACCAACTCAACAGGAATCCCGCCAGGACCCGGTGCTTTGTCATTAATTAGCTCTTTAACCGCTTTAATTATGTCACAAGTGTGGATCTCCAAGTTGTTCATTCTTCCGTTGTCCGTGCTGTTGTCTCGAAACTCTGGGCGCCTTTCCGTCAAAAGATCTTTAAAATGATCCTCCAGTTTTTTAAGTGATATCGGAGAAACGATGTCGCGCTTCATGTCTCTACGTAAACCTTTAATTAACTTCCAGCTCTCAGCACTTTTTCTCCCCCCTAGGTAGGTGTTAATTCTAGAACAGTTGCTTTCCCAAGCTTCATTCTTCTTCCGTGTTATGAGGCTCCTAACTTTAGACTGAGCTTTCCTGTAAGCAACTTTATCTTCAGTCTTTTTAGACGACAGAAATATAAGGTGTTTTTGCCTCTTAAGATTTATCTCGTCTTCAATTTCTTCATCCCACCAGTAAGGATGCTGGTATTTATTACTGGTTTTGTGAACACCTAGGGCTTCTTTCGCTGCAGAGTGGATACAATCTTTGATGGACTGATATTGCTCTTCCGTGGTACCCGAGAGTCCATCCCCCAGCTTCTCATCTAAGCGTTTCCGATACAGAGCCTTGACACTAGGGTGCTCCAAACTTTCGATGTTATACCATACTTCATGATTTTGCGTTCCCTGACTCTGCTGTTGCTCAGGCATTGGCTCTTTATCTTTAATCCCTTTAACGGGAAACGCTATATCTGCTCGGAGGAAATGATGATCACTGCCGCATGAGAGTCCCCTGCACACTCTAACTTGCTGCAATTTCAACTTAGTAGTGTGCTTTACAATTACATAATCGATGATGGATTTCAATCCTCGCGTTGGCTGGACCCAGGTATACTTATGGATGTCTTTGTGTTGAAAAAAGCCATTCAAAATTTTCATCTCAGTTTGAGAACAAATTGAGATGAGCCGATCACCGTTATCATTAACAGCATCCTCCCCAAACGGTCCAACAACTTTACAGTTTACTCGTCGTCCCGTTCTGCTGTTCAAATCACCCATAAGAATGGCTTCCCTGCCAGCACCAACGTTCAGTATTTCATCATTCAGATCTTCGAAGAATTGGTCCTTACATGCGACAGTGGCATCATCATTTACACCGTATACTCCGAGCAGCGTGATCTTATGTCCGTATAGGTTAAGGTTCATTTTGATAATGCGCTGGTTGACGGCCTCCCAAGTGCCCACGAACTTACGTAGGCTTCTCCGCAAAAGTATTGCTACTCCTTGCTGAGCACGCTGATCTTTGGCTACGCCGCTGTAGAATAGATCATAGTCACCGTAATTCTCTGACCCGTGCCCTTTTTTCTTGGTCTCAGTAAGAACAGCGACATCCACTCCAAGTTTCTGAATCTCCGATCTTCTACCCATACTTACACAAAATTCCGGTTACTTTTTCTCACTGTGTAGATGTTAAAAATAAAACTATCGTGGCGTAAAATAGTTGGAAGAAGCTAGACGTTGCAAAAATACTGATAGAAATTCGCCCCGTAGTGGATCATTTTAATGAATTTGATTGTTGGCAAGTATCATTGATATTTGATTTGATGGTGAATGAAAATGAAATGGTTGCAATGATACAGAATTAATGTGGAACTACCTCGAAATAAGAAATCACAGTTGCCTCTAGTGATGAAACCGCATCTTTTGTGGAGCCATGTAACCGGGCTGTAGTGGCCATATTTCGTGTAGAACTCATCGATAGACTTGGTGACATCTGCGCACTCCTTATTGCAAATGTCGTGGACGTCTTCAGACTTGTCGATGATTTTCGAGCGATCGCACTGAAATTGGGCATCAAAAAAAAAAAAAAAAATGGCAAAAATTGGCAGTAGAATGTGTGTTCCAAAATACTATAGACCTAAAGCCGGCTGTAAGATTTCCAATAGCTTCTGTAGCCGGTTGTACAATTTCCTATAGCCTTTTATAGCCGATGGCGACTAAGCAACAGCCAGACGATAAAGTTTATGCTAAACGTTACTAAATACGGATACCAGGACTTAGTTAGTTTTTGGACTGCCGCTCTCTTTTTTTGCCGTAGTATCTTGATTTATTTTGCGAGGAAAGCTCCGTACTTTTGAAGGATGCTGTCATTCTTAATATGTTGGAGCGCCTTCAATTTCTTATGATACTGTGCAATACCTCTGGTGTGAAATAGTTGCTTCAGACGCCGGGGCACGCTGCGGCGCGGCGCGGCGCGGCGGGCGGGCAGCCAGCGCTGAACGCGCATTGGCGCCTACAAACCTAACAGGGATACTTCACGCATTGCGCAATGCGTGAAGTATCCCTGTCAGGTTTGTAGGCGCCAGTGCGTCGCCGCTCCGCTTTGTGTCAGGCTCTAATATTTAATCTCGCGGAGTCAGCGTGTTTCAACTCATGATTCTGAAATGTTTGCACACTCTGTATGGATTATTCTCATTTTAATTAATGGAAAAAAATGTTTTAAAGGAAAATATAATGTGTGTTTTGTAAATATTAAGGTGATTCCGTACAAACTTAAGGATCTACAAAGCACAAGAATTTCTACACAATTTCTTATAGCCTCTCATTGCCAATGGCGATAAAGTGTAAAGCCCGGCGAAAGAAACTATAACCCGACTGTATACTATCGTCATATCAAAGAAGTAAGTCTGCGACCGCGTATCTCTTTGCGGTGTTTGAAAACCTCCGATCCTACTTTATTCGTTGAAGGTGATTCGTCAAGCTCAATGACGCGATCGAACTGGCATGCGATATATCGCATCTTTTAGGTCAAAAATCTCGCCAAATTTTGAGTTTTCAGCAAAAAAAAAAAAGGGCGATAGCCTCTGCGCATGAGCCTGAAGAATCATTCTGAACCCAAAAATCGGCAAATTCCAGAGAAATGAAAGCAGAACAGTGTGTGGACAGAACCTCGCATTCGATACAAAAATCGATAGCTGAATCGAATGCGAGGTTTTTTTCCAAACACTATCCTGCTTTCATTTCTCTGAATTTTGCCGATTTTTGGGTTTAGAATGATTCTTCAGGCTCATCCGCAGAGGCTATCGCCCTTTTTTTTGCTGAAAACTCAAAATCTGGCGAGATTTTTGACCTAAAAGATGCGATATCTCGCATGCCAGTTCGACCACTTCTTTTGAGCTTGACGAATCACCTTAAAGGATCAAAAATCAGCAATATTCAATGACGTTTTTGCAGAATTTTCTGCGCACATAGAAGAAACATCACATCAGTTTCGAAGAATTGTTCAGCAGTTTTCCATCTAAAAATTAAAGTATTCGACAGGAAGTCTGCCACGTCGCAAAGCGAGATACGTAGTTGCACCGTCGACTTTTCTCTGTGCGTGTAATATTGACGGGGATGCTGCCTAGCGAAAAACATTTTTGATGGCGTCACTCTCTGCGATAGTGCATACTATTATTTTTTAATTTGTTTTAACTTTGGTAATAAATTGGGTTTAACAGAAATACGGGAAGTTTTTAAATTAATCAAACTTTTGTGTAAAATGGACTGCATTTTGCAATTTGGAACTATAAATGGACCACTAGACAAGGTACGAATTTAAGCAATCTGATACATGTTTTTTAACCAGAATTTCACGTGAAATACGATTCACACAACGAAAATTACTGAAACCAACTCCTAACGAAGAGATTAACGTTTTTAATACACATTGGTTACGAGGAATTTGAACTGCCCGCTCTCAAGAAACTCAAAGCTCTCCGAGAGTCAAATTGTAGACCACAACGGTTTCAGCAAGCTTCTCAATCGAGCAATGTTCATTTCCCACCATGTGTTGTTCAAACTTTAAGTAATTTGCTATAGCTGAGCCAAAGTGTCAAGATTGAGGTTACCAGATTTGTATATCGCTGAGACGTTCATGATAACGTTTAGCGCGCGATGTGAATCACGTAGATCATTGATTTTTTATGAGCGGGTGGTTTGAATTCACCCATCAAGGATTATTGAATATCTTCGTAAGGAGTTTTTTTTTGGTAATTTTCGTTGTGCGCATCGTGTTTTACGTGAAATTTTAGTTAAGAAGCATGTATCAGAATGCTGAAATTCGTACCTTGTCTAGTGGTCCATTCTGGCTTTTCTGGAAGAACACTTATGTGCAGAGGGAAACAAATGGCACATACGTTGTTTTGAAACCGGGCTAGAAGTTATAGTTCCAAATTGCAAAATGTGGTCCAAATGTAATGTTGAAAAATAATTTAAATTAAGTATGGTAAGGAATGAATGAAAGTACTTGAAGGACAACAGTGTCAAATTTTCAAGAAGGTATTATTGACAGAATAATTTAAATCTAAATGTTGTATTAAGAAAAAATGTCAATGAATTAATAAAAATTACGGTAACGCATTTTGCTTGTTCATCGATGAATCAAATGAACAGGGTGTAAAGGCAAGACCTTTTCTCTTTCATTTAACGTATGAAAAATGATTCGTCTTGCCTGTGAGGTTATAATGGCTGCGTGCACTCCTCGTACGGACAAATGGCTGCGCTACAGTTTCGCACAGGTTCGGTCTCGCACAAAATTTTCAGTGCACAATCTTGCAACGTCTCAACGCAGATCAGATTTAAAATCTTCTGCCGCAGCATCTTCGATGACGTCTGTATGTTTTTAGTCCAATTATTTTTAGTAGTGGTTTTTAGTACTGGGATTTTAACCAAAAGTGTTCCGCACATTGTAAGTAAATGTAAGTGTAAGTAGTAAGTAAGTTAGTAAGTAAATTTAAGTAAATAAAGTAAGTAAATTTAAGTGTTTTAAATCGAGTATTAATTTTACGATATTTAAAAATAACCACGGCAAAGACAGCATCTCATATGAAGGCTTTAAGTATATTCCAAATTTCGCCCTCAAAATTCCAGTAATCCTCCCTCATTCATTTTATGTAGAATCGTAATATTTTTCGAATTATTTGACCGTGCAAAGTAGAGTTTCTGCAATGTTGCAACATATAGTGCACTAAAATCTAGCGATGCTTACCTTATAGAATCAAAAGTGTGCGGAAGTGATAAACTGCCGGACAAATTCAGAATTACCATTAAATAATAGTTGAAGTTCCTTAAAAATTTGTGCAGCCACTTGAATAAAGCCATAGGCCATATTTGAAGTAGTAAAAAAAAAAAAAAAAAAAAAAAAAAAAAAAAAAAAAAACTTACCAGAGGAACACTCGGGCTCGGAGGCGGTTCAAATATCAAGTATTCTGATATCGATGTTTGGGATCTGGATCTAGCTAAGGTGGGTTGGGGACTTGGAACGCTCTGTATTTGATGTAGGAGATGAACTAAGAAGATATATGAAGAAAAAACTGGAAAAATCATAGCAAATTCATTGGGTAGTGGGATCTTCATTGAACTAAATTGTAGCACATACTTCAGCGAGGAGATAACTTTTGTGACGAGGGTTTTGAAGACGAAACGTTCGTAAAATAGAGAGCAACTGTCTTTTTTCGGATCGATGCAATTAGTGAGTGAAATGTTCAAAGCGGTGGGGTCATATGTTATTTTTTTGTGATTTTTCCTTTTTTATAATGGAAATTCCGAGATGAAATATTTTTTTACGGAGAGGCTTGCTCGTTCGAACTGGAAAAACGGTGACTCAAAGGCTGGATGAGGCTGTGTTTTTTTTTTTTNGGGGGGGGGGGGAAACGCAGGCTGTGCACAAGTGGTTTGCACTTGAGTTTTTGAATTCGCTTCTGCGAGTTTCACGCTGATTTCTCACGCAGCTGCAGGTCATTCGCTTGAAATGCGCCGTGCTCAATACTAATGGTGGGTGAAAGGTTTTTTCGATTAACTTTTTGTTAGAGGTGAAAAACTTGAACTCACGTCATAGTCATCTACGGAATATCGTTTTTATCCATTTTCATCTAAAAAACAAGCAGTGAACTCCAACACAATGTGTTGATAAGGCGCGTCATTAACTCACACATATCAGCCCCTTTAGTTTTCATTTACAGAGATTTCAAAATAGGCAAGTAGCACAACAAGAGAATTCATACGATCCAACTCTTCGACGACGCACTTTGACGAGACCTTGTATTTTGAATGTAGAAAGCCATTCGAACGAGTTTAAGTTTTTTGATCTGCCCCCAGCAATATCTTATCAGATTCTTAAAGAAAAGTGCTACGGAATAATTTAAGCGAAGAAAGGAAAAATTCTGTCGAACTCCTGAAAGATACAGTCGATTTGAAGGTATTTTTGGGGCTAAAATATCCAAATCACCGGTACCTATTATAAATCCCGATATATTATTGAAAAAAAATTGACTCGATATAAATATAATTGCATTAAATATGTCTTGATTTTGTAATTTTAAACGTATTTTCATGCAAAGAAGTTCAACCATGTCTATGCTTTATTCATTCATGAATTGAAAGTAAGCAATCTACATCCCGAAAATCTACCGATTTGCCGTAAAAAATTGCAAAAACTTGATATACCAGGTCGATGCACTCACTCGTTGAATTTACCAACCAATTTCGTGGGTGCAAATATATAAAAATCAATATGCTATAGCCATTTTGGGTGCATTTATTTTTCATGAAACATTAATAATTTCAATCCCGAAAAACCATCAATTTTCCGTATAAAATGGAAAAAATCAAGATGTGTCGAATCCCTGACGTGAAAATTAGATTCTACGTGTAAAAATAATTACACATGGATATGCTGAACAGAAACCATGTGTGGACACAGTTAGGATACATAGCCCCAGAATACTTTTAAAGCGCCTTTACTTTCCAGAATCTTGACGGAATTTTTTTTTTGGCTTAAACGACTCAAGAGACACTGTAGTTAAAAAATATTTAGAATTTTCGATTTTGACCCAAAAAAAAATGTTCGTTCAGGCACGTCCTGTATTGTATGGAGTATTGCGCTGGTATTCAATCCTTGCCTTCAGATCAAAATTCTTACAGGGAAGCCCCTTGCAAGAGGCGAATTTTTTGTAATTTCTCCCAATTTTTTCTCCGTTATATAGTTGAATTGCTTGCCAAATTCTGAGGTCAATTATATTTAATTGTAATTTATACATTTCTTTTTTCCCCTTCATTTTATTTTTTGTATGGAGAAGTTTCGTTGATTTTTTCGGATTGCGAATACTGTAACTTCTCTTCTATTCGGCCGATTTTTATGAATGAGACCTCTTTCAATTCGTCTTTGAATGGAGCGTAAGGAAAAAATTGCTAAGTACTCGCGAAACAATTTTTTCGAAAATTTGATGGATCCCAGCGTGACGGTGAAATGGGTAATCGAGTGAAAGTAATTAGGTCTGACTGTGGCGAGGGCCGCGAGGGTCGCCTTTTGTTCTTCAGCTGGAGAGCGACGCGGCGAACAGAGCCAGGACCGGGACACTACCTGGGTTTTGTGCCTGCCTGTGCACTGTTTTGGCCTGATAGGGGAGTGAATTTCTGTATGGGCCACGGTTAGCACATGGGCTAATGAGTCTCGAGGCTCATCACAGATTGCACTTACCACTATCCTGCTGGCCCTGGCTATCAGAGCAAGGAGTACCAAATTTTGAAAAGGATAACAGGGGTATGGAGATCTGTCAAAGCAACGTTTTAAACAAAACGAAGAAGTGAAATTCTCATTCAACGAGTGCCGACCTGATCAGCCATCCTCGAATCAGTTCGCTTGCTTCTGCTTATATATGCATATTTTAAATCAGCGCGCCCCATTCTAAGGTTTTTTTAAGAAAAACCAAGTAACGTAGACTCTTGGTATTCATTACACATAAACTAGGGTGCCCCAGAATGAGAAAGAACTTTAAATCATAATTATTGACGGATAAATAAACTTTTTACACGCTTTGGAAAATCTCAGAAGTTCGCGGTAGTCACTTTTCGGTAAGGAACTAAGGGACTCGGTTATTGTATCGAGTGGGGGGTCGAAACGATCGCAAAGGCGGTATACTACGTATACGCGCCAAAAACATTTTTTTATGAAAACGTAAGAGGCGTTTTTACAGCACTCTCTGACGATTTGCTATCCCTAACTGCCTCAGTTCTCGATCCTCCTAAAACCCTTCTAGGAGGACATTGATTCAGAATCTCTTTCAAGTCAGAGTCAAGTCTCGTTCAGAGTCTCTCTCTTTCTGGTTGGTACAATATTACAATGGAGATGTTGCATGAGTGTGGAATTTGCGATTTGACTGTTGATTCTTATGTAAAAGTTCGCGAGAAACACGATGCTGCCACTGGTTTTCTCTGAAATCAACTCCGAAGCTCAAAAAAAGCTCTCAAGTTGAGGCCAAAATGGCCGGGGATATCCCACGCTGTCCTGAGAGTCCACAATCCACATCTACATCAAGACAAACTCTCCACGCAAAGATAGGGAGCAAATACATTGACAGGGCTGCCACTTTAATTGGGGACTCCAAAACTGAAAACACGGCATCACTGCTAATGTTTTTGCTCCCTATCTTTGCATCTTGATGTAGAGGTGGACTCTCAGGATAGCGTGGGATATCCCCTCCATTTTGGCCTCAACTTGAGAGCTGTTTTTGAGTTTGGGAGTTGATTTCAGAGAAAACCAGTGGCACCATCGTGTTTCTCGCGAACTGTTACATAGAAATCAACAGTCAAATCGCAAATTCCTCACACATGTAACATCTCCATTGACAGACATAAAGTGTCCTTTCTGAAGGTTTTCAAAATCGCCAAAAGTGCTGTAGTCTTTCGATACATCAACTTGTCGATGAAATTCGCAGCTTCTTCATGGGCTAAATCATCGTTCTCAAAGAAATGCATACTTATATCTGAATACCGCAAACTTTATTCTCACACATCGTGTTTTTAACAGAAAACTCTTGAGCGTTTTTTAGTTAACATTTCAATTATTTTTCTTCTTCTGACACGCAGCAGTCAACATGACGGTCTTATTCTCGTAATAAAATTCGGTGTTCAGTCAATTTGGCAACCTTGAAATGGAGACGCACTTTAGTCTGGGAAACTGCGAACTCAATGAAAGGAACGTTTGATCTGGACATCGTTGGCTAAAGTGCGAAACAACGTACCTTCATTGCGACGTTGAAGACTTCAGGGCCGGATTTACCTACTTGCCGCCCATTAGCCGCCTGTATTTTTCCGCCCCCTTCTCATTTGTTTTGAAACATTAGTGGATCGTATTTGACAGTGATTCGATGTATCGTTTGGTTCAAAACAATAGAACAAAACCTCAAACAAAAATTTTACGATTAAATTTGGAAAAGCTGAAAATGAGAATATTCCTAACAATTTCATTTTTCATTGCCATATGGTACTCGAGAGAATGAAAATTCGATCACATAAGACCTGTTACCTCAGATTTCTAAATTGACTTTTGAGGCTGTGGTTACATATTGAACCAATCGATATCAATATAATCTCACCTGAGTGATCTGTCGAATACGATCTATAAAAACCATCAAGTGAACGTGCCGGTGGGGAGAGGTGTATGAGACGCGTTTACTCGTGTTGGGCACATTTTTTGTGAAAGCCCTGTCAACACTAACAAAAGTTCGGTTCCGTAAACCCATCTCTGTTTGGACAAGGCCTTCCATTTATAAACAACGAACGAAAAAATTATGAGGGAACATACATAAATGTGGTTAAAAATTTCAACTTCCACCACTGCGCCGACCGCACCGTGTTGGCGCAATGCGTGAAGTATTCATGTAGTCTTGTAGGCGCTATGCGTTTCACGCCGACTGCTGCTGACCGCTGTGTGTTTGACGCAATGCGTGAAGTATTTATGCGGTCTGTAGGCACTATGCGTTCCATGCCGACCGCCGCGCCGCTCCGTTCCAGGTCAAATTGCGTGTTTGGTTTCTCTCTTAACTCGACTTATTAAAGGCGTTTTCTCTTGTAACAACAAAAGTCGACAAAATTAGAAATTACTATACTTTTACTTTAAGGAAATGAGAGATTTTGTCGCCTTTTCTCGTTTGTAATTTTTTTTCTGAATCCGATTGTTTTCTCTCATTTTTTGATACCTACATTCAAAAATATTGCGAAATTTGTCGCCCCCTACATTTTGCCGCCATGGGCCGCGACCCATGTGGCCACCCCCTTAATCCGGCCCTGGAAGACTTCCTGTCATACTTTATTGTTTCCTCGGAAAACTAGTCAACGTAATTTCGTGAAAACTACCATGATTTCTTTTTTATATCAGCAGAATATTCTGTGTGAATATCAAGCCGTAAAGTTGGCTTGTTTCTCTTAACAAAAATAAAATAGGAGCGGGAATTTCATACTGTAGCCATTGATATATTGATGAGTAGATTAATTGAGTGCCCCAGGCTATCATCGGCGTCTTATGCTTTGTGACGAATCGATTGATTTGCCATTATTTTAAATTCGACTGCATTTTGTAATTTGGAGCTATAAATTCTGGCTCATCTGAAAAAACACTTATGTGCATAGGGGAACTAATTGCACATACGTTGTTTTTAAGCCTGACCGGAATTTATAGCTCCTAATTGCAAAATGTAGTCCAACTTATGTAAAAGGATCGATTATCACAGTGTTCGTCTGAGCATATGATACTCTCATTGCAGAGACGACGTGCAAGCCTTGCAACGCTGTTGAAATTTTGCAATATTGGGCTTGATTAATGATTTGCAATATAATAAGATAAGGAATTATTGAAGTTTTCAGCCCAAAAATCTACCGTCGTTTCAGTATAGAATCTTTCAATGAAGATTGTTCGCATGCGTGTTAGTTAATTCCATTGGAACACATTATACATGCTGTTGCGCAATCTGCGTGGCGCTTTTAATATTATGCACCGTTTCTGCAGAGAATATCTGGTACGTTACGGTATCTGGCAGAATATATCTCTCAAGCGAGAATTTACATAATCAGCAAACACCTAGAAATCATATTCAGAGAAATATTTTTACTAACGCAAGCATACAGAATTCCAAATACAATTAATATGAAAATGTTTGAATATGTACATGATCATAACTACAATTTACACTAATTATTATCTTGTTTAATCTTTATTTTTTTTTCTAAAAATGAAGTACCTTGAGATCTTTCATGAATCAATCCTAAATTTTAAAGAAGACATGAATTTAAAAGCAGAATGCTGCAAAAAAATTAAAGCTTCGGAAAAAATTAGGCAAAATCCAATGTAAGTAGGCTAATTGGACGTATTTCTGCCGAACGGAACTGTGTGCATTATGACATGAGCCCTGCTATGCATACATTCTTATGTGTCTCGGGGTTCATGTCTTAATGTACACAGTTCCGTTTGGCAGAAATACATCCAATTTTGGTTGATATTTTCCACTGAAGGCCTAGATACACACGGCGATCAATCGTTGCGATTGAAAGACGAAAGCCAATGGAGAGCCTTGAATTCGATATATCGCCGTCAATGGATCGAAATCAAGGCATCTCCATTGGCTTCCGTCTTTCACTCGCGGCAATTAATCGCCGTGAATCTAGGCCTATAGTGGCGGGAAATAATGAGCCACGAGTTGGGGTACGAAGTTGATTGATTCAAATCCATATATTCGTAGTAACTTGAAACACATAAAAAACCTAATTGTTAACAAACCTATTAATTAAAATTAATATTATCGAGGTGAATAAATAGCGTTAAAATTAACAACACAAAATGAATACAATATATAGTATGATAAACCTAAAAAATCAAGGTACAATTAAAAAAGAGGCGCAAAAACTATTCATTGTTAGGTCGAATCTTTCGTATTTTGAGAATTAGTTTTATATCATACTTTGCTGATTTGCGTTTATTTTCCATGCAGCAATTTCTCGTTCCCTAACTTTAAAATGCTCTGAAAGGCCTGATTTTCGGAATGTTGGAATGGTTTATGTGACAGACGATGCAAAATTAAAGCTTTTATGCAGTGGTGTGGTTATCCCGGGGTTTTTATCATTATTTTTATTGAATTTCTAGTTGTGTGCCCTTCTCCCGAATTCCACTACATACTGGCGTGGAACTCGTGCCCGAGTCGGGTAAAATTCATCCGAAGATATGGAAGACTCAATTGGGCCCTGTTTTCTGACTTTTCTACCAAATCTGAGCGACGCCTCACTGGCAGTATAGAGCAAACTAGGGGGCCATGCCCCCTAGCCGCTACGTAAGTAAAACAAAACAAGTATGAGCATCAAGGTTCCTTTATTAGTCCTTCTTATATTATCTCCCAGGTATACTCAATTATGAAAAAATCTGGGTCATACTTCCAAAATCTAATCACAGCGGGCTCATCTAGGGGCATCACCCGTCGATAACCGCAAAAATTATGGAATCCGGTCCAGTAGAACGCTCAAACGAACTATGACGAAAAATACAAATTTACATTGTTTAAATGGGAGAATTCGCAACTTTACCGCGTAATGAAAATAAAACCTGGGTCATATTTTCAAAATCTAAACAGAGCGGGCTCATTTAGAGACAATTGCCTGTCGATTGCCGCAAAAATCATGAAAATTGACCCCGTAGAACGCTGGAACTAAGCGTTACGAGGTACGCAAATTTAGGAGGTCTCGGAGCTTATATGGATTGCATTTTGCAAAACGGAACCACTAGCATTGCAATGTTGCTAAGATTGTGCAACTTCTTTTGTCTTGGAAGAAAAACCCGATTATCCATTAATAGTTTCTATTTTACTTGCTAAAAACTGTAAATTTAAGACAAAAATTACCATCTAAATTTCATAGTTTTTCACGATTTCCGCAATTTTATTGCAAAGGATGAAGTTGCACAATCTTAACATCATTGCAATGCTAGTGGTTCTTTTTTGCAAAATGCAATCCATATATATGATATGATAGCAAAATTAAAGCATTTTGTACCGCCTCGTACCATCGCGCCTTCAGTTTTGCAGACGCAACACGGACATCAAGCGTATTAACTCCAAACGTATCTCAATTTCGACGTGACCCCTGTTCTCCGCATAACTATATGCTTTCCGCGGCTCATGTGTAGATCGGAATACGCTCTTACGTCGGTGGAGCGACGACATGAGTGCGTCATAATGATCATACGACGTTCTCCTTTAGCACGGCGCACAGTAGATCGAGTCAATGGAGATGTTGCATTGTTGCATGTGTGAGGAATTTGCGATTTGACAATTGATTCTTCTGTAAAAGTTCGAGAGAAACACGATGGTGTCACTGGTTTTCTCTGAAACCAACTCTCAAGCTCAAAAAAGCTCTCAAGTTGAGGCCAAAATGGAGGTGATATCCCAAGCTGTCCTGAGAGTCCACCTCTACATCAAGAAGAACTCTCCATGCAAAAATAGGGAGCAAATACACGAGCAGTAATGCCGTGTTTTCAATTTTAGAGTCCCAAATTAAAGTGGCATCCCTGCTAATGTATTTGCTCCCTATCTTTGCATGGAGAGTTCGTCTTGATGTAGACGTGGACTCTCAGGATAGCGTGGGATATCCCCTCCATTTTGGCCTCGGCTTGAGAGCTTTTTTTGAGCTTGGGAGTTGATTTCAGAGAAAACCAGTGGCACCATCGTGTTTCTCGCGAACTTTGACGTAAGAATCAACAGTCAAATCGCAAATTCCTCACACATGCAACATCTCTATTGACTCGATCTCCATTAGAGAGGTTGGACATGAAATTGTTTACTAAAACTCCAAACTTGGGTGTTTGTTTTGTCACACATTAAACTTTAAGTGGTGTTTCTAGAGGGCAATGTCACGAGGAAACCAATAGAACTACTTTTAGAGTCTCAATTCAATAGATGTAGTTACAGGCGTTTAAAGCATCCGAATTTTGTCCGACCTCTCCTATTGGCTCGATCCACACGGAGAAAAATAGAACGGTGCTCAGCACCAACTTTTCTTTAATATCCGCCGGATTTGGTAGACTGCAGGAAAACATGTCACCTAGCAGAGGAAGTTTGTGCGAAAGTACAGGAGGAATGTGCTGGGGACAAGTGTCGGCTGTGCCCAAGTGCGGAATGGAATGTTAAAGCAAAATCATCATCCGTCCCATGTGATGAAGTCCATCTTCTGGTACTCACCGCGGTTCTATTTTTCTCCGTGCACTGTGCGGCGGGGCGGGTGTTCGCTGAGTTTGAAGGAAAGCATTCGAAACAGATCCGATTATGCTTATTTCATGTGCGAGTGAGTTTTAATAGTTTTTGATAAGTCTAGTCATTTTAGCAACAAGTGCAGTCCGTTTTACGTTCTTATTTAGAAGCGGATCCCTCCCCTATGACACCTGATCCTCAATCATAACCTCCATAATCATAACCACCAGTATCATTACCACCATAATCGACCGTGTCATATGAGGAGCCACCGTAACCATAATCGGTTGAGGCGGCTGGCTCATAAGAAGAGGCGGCTGGCTCATAGGAAGAGGCGGCTGGCTCATAAGAAGAAGCGGCCGGCTCCTGCGGGGTAGGGACCCACTCGGGCCTCGAGGACTCCTGCCTGGCAGGTGCATCAGGGGGCACTTCGGACCTGGAGGACTCCTGCCTGACAAACGGGTCAAAGAGTCTTCCGGACCTGGAGGAAGATGAAGAAGAGCTCCTCGACAAAGCCTCCTCTTCTGCCCCTTCTTCGTCACCCTGCTCCTCCTCTTTTTCACTCTCTTCGCCCTCTTTCCAGCCCTTTCTGTGCCTCCTCCTCTTCTTCCCAATCCCTCCTTTCTTCCTCTTTTCTCCCCTTCCTGCCTTTAGCACATGACCCGCAATTTTGCTCCCAGCCCTGGCTATTCTCGAGTGTGAGAAAACACGACCCAATCTTTTTACACCACCACCTCTACCTACTTTACCATTACCTTCGTCCAGTCTACCACTACTTCCACCTAGTCTACCGCTACCTCCACCTACTTTACCATTACTTTTATCCAGTCTACCACTACCTCCACCTAGTCTACCACTACCTCCACCTAGTCTACCACTATCTCCAACTAATCTACCATTACCCTCAGCTACTCTACCACTATTTCCATCTACCTTAACAATTTTACCACCACTTCCACCTTCTCCACCTAATTTACTTCTGCTTCCACCTCCTCCATCCAATTTAGTTTTGCTTCCACCTCCTCCATCCAATTTACTTTTGCTTCCACCTCCTTCATTCAATCTTCCACCACTTCCAAATCTTCCATCTAATCTACTTTTGCTTCCACTGCCTCCATCCAATTTACCTTTGCCCTCAGCACTTCCACTAAATTTATCACCGCCGCCTCCGCTTACTTGATTTCCGCCTCCACCTCCTCCAGGTCCTTGATATCCCCATCCGCCTACTGGATGTCCGTTTGCTGGATGTTCGCTCGATGGGTATCCACTTATTTCGACCTTACCCCCTGAATATTCGCTTCCGTGATATGCGCCTCCACCATATTCGCTTCCTTGATAAGTACTTCCATGATAACCGTCTCCCTCGTCTTCCCCTCCTCCGCCTCCGTCGGGTCTGGCCTTGAATTTGAGTTTGAGGTTCCCAACGCCTTTGATTATCGGGAATTGCTGGCGGCAAATCCAAAGATCGTTAAGACGCCATCTTTGCTTCACATGCTCCAACGGTAGCCCTTCGAAGGCCTTAGAGCGGCACTTGCATACAGGCACTAAGTAACGGAACACAAGGAGATATTTTCAGAGCTTTTCTACTGACAAATATTTGGATTGCATTTTGCAAAAAGGAACCACTAGCATTGCAATGTTGCTAAGATTGTGCAACTTCTTTTGTCTTGGAGGAAAAATCCGATTATCCCTTAATGGTTTCTATTTTACTCGCTAAAAACTGTAAATTTTAGACAAAAATTACCATCTAAATTTCATAGTTTTTCACAATTTCCGAAATTTTATTGCAAAGGATGAAGTTGCACATCACAATTCCCGCAATTTTATTGCAAAGGATGAAGTTGCACAATCTTAGCATCATTGCAATGCTAGTGGCTCCTTTTTGCAAAATGCAATCCAGTTAATGCCATGTTTTGGCTACGTTTTGGAGACAGATCAGTGAAACAATACTTTTGAAGGTGCAAGCGGAATGGGGTGAACACGAATTGGACGTATTTCTGTTACACGGAGCTAAGCGCCAAATTGAGTTCCTTTTGAGGATTTTAGAATCCCGGATAGCGCGTTCTGTCAAATGGAACTAAGCGCCATGGAAAAGCATTGCGAGTATAGGACGGAACGAGAATCGCGCTCCGCTACACCCGCCAACCCAAGCCCTCCTCTCCCTTCCTCCCCCGATGACGCTTAGTTCCGTTTGATAGGAATACGCCCAATTGTGTTAGGTTCGGTTACAAAATTGTATTCTACAATGTAAGTGTATCGTAAGACTCACAACGCACAGTGGATCGAGTCAATGAGAGAGTCCGGAAATGAAATGTTTGACTAAAACTGCAAATTTTGATATTTATTTCGTCAGATTTTAAATTTCAATAGGAGGTGTTTTAGTAGACAATTTCACGAAAAAACCAAAGAACCCATTTTCGAACCTCAAAGTTTATATAAACGGAGTTAAAAGCGTTTAAAATTTCCAAATTTTGTCTCACCTCTCCCATTGGCTCGATCCCTTGTGCAACGCCTGAGGTGCGAAGCGCTCCCAGGGGTTGGACCGCGAGGCAGTCAGGGGGCGTAGCCCCTTAATTCTTAAACATGTTGCAGAAACGTTTTAAAACTGTTCTAAATATGTCCAAAATCAAGTTGAATTTTACTCCGCTAGAATAATGGGCGTGAAAATTCTTCCAGATCATTTGATCCCAACATTCAATGATTCATCAGTATTTTTATTAGTGCTGTTTTTTAATCTTTTTGGTCGAGCTAAAGTATGAGGCTTTAACAAAACAAAACACTTCTGCCAAAAGAGAGGCTATGGCAAAAATTTACTTACCCAGCACTGTTGTTCCACAAATTCCATCAATCATTCTGCCACATCTCTCGCGGAAACCTTGTAGACACTGATTATTTGGATACTTATCAGCAATCTTGACTACTGCTTCGCTAAATTTTTGACACTCGGAACTACACGCTGCGTTGTCATTTAAGCTGGAGGTAGAGTGACACTGAAATCAAGAACGGCACAAATTGATTAAAGTTACCGCGAAGAAAATGTTGAGGTGGTTTCGACAAAAAACAAGATATTTTTTCAAAACCTGAGGCGGATGGTTAATAATAAAATACGGTCATTTTGATTTAAATTCTAAAATTTTTCCTGAAATCAAAAAAGAAATTTTCCAAGTATCTGCAAATTAAGCTCTCAGTAAAATTTTTGATTGACTGAGGTTAATGTCCTTATGCCTTGTTTGCACTGTGCTAACATTTATCGCAAAATTGATCGATACTTCACAAAAATGAAGATCACTTTTGAATGTTCGGCGGTGAAGTATTTTACATTGTCAAATGTAAAAAATAATGTTGTTACGATACAATTGTTTCCCTGCAGATATTAATTCTCTCAGAAATCTTCATAAAAAATATCAGAAATTGAGTGGGTTCTTAAATTTTTGACTATCTGCCTATCCTAGCACTGTCGTGCTAAGGAAAAACGCCGTATAAGCCTTCAGACGTTGCCATATCTCTTTCGATTAAAGTCTTTACTCTGAAAAGTTCTAATAATTTTGTAGAATATTTCAGACAATTTTGCTCGCAATTTAATCTAAAATTTCCGAAATTTTCAATGAGACATTTGCATAAGCTCTCCTCAAAAATCCACAGTTTATACTTGGAAATTTGGCAACTCTCAAATGCTCATACGACGTTCTTCCTTATAGCACGGTAAAATACTAGGAGGTGTGGAATATATCTTAATATAGCTTTTAGAACAAGTAAAATACAAAATAGATTTCCCTTTAAACTGGGGGGAGGGGGAATTCAAAAACAAATTTTAAAAAGTTTATGAAGGTAAGTTGGATAAAAAGGAGCCAGCACGATTACAGCGTTTTCAAAATCGTACAACTTCTTTCCTCTTAAAAATACTATATGTATGCACAGTTTTAAAATTTACACAGTTAATTTCCGTTGAAATTAACAATTTTTTGGCGGAAAACAAAAACTATTTGCTATTTTAGGAGATTTTTCAGATGATTATAAAGAAGCAAGATTTTTACAACAACGTAATCGCGCTGGTTCATTTTTGCTTAATGCGATCCAGTGAAGGAACGACTGATGATGAGATAAAACTTTCCATGGGACATTTTTTTACTCAAAATTATCGATTTTTTCGCGGCATCGAGGCTCGAATTATTGATGTGAGACGCACTGAAAAAAAAATCTCGGTGTATTTACTAAGAAAAGGGTAAAATTACCAAGAATTCAGGGTTGTATTTGATCCCAGTTTTTTCTTGGTATCATTACCATTTATGGAATTGGTAATTTTACCGAGAAATCTCGGTAAAATTATTGAACTTTCTCGGTAATTTTACCGGACCTTGGTAAAAACGCCAATATTTTTTATCGACTGTGGTGGAATTACCGAGATAAAATGGCAAAGGTACCGGTAATTGGTTACCAATAAAAGTGGTATTCTTACCTGAAAGAAAGAGTAAAAATACCGGTTTTTAGGTAAGCTTACCAGTCTGTCTTGGTAAAATTACCAATAATTGGTAAAAAAAGTGAGATGGTAAAGGTACCAACGGACCTTGGTAAAAACGCCGAGAATTTTTTTTTAATGCGCAAAATCACTTTACATGTTACCCGCCTTCTTTTCACGTATAGTTTTCTTGGTGAGGAGAATGAAAGGAAGCATCTTTCAATAATTATACGACAACAAAAAATTGTCTACGTAATGGTCCCCCCCCCCCCCAAAAAAAAAGAGGAAAACAACTAAAACAAGTGCGCACGCAGAAGTATGGACACTAATTTCACATGCGGAGAGTCTGAAACACTCAATAAAGATATCGTGCTTCTCCTTCGATACATGAGAGTTTCGGTACCATTCTACCGTGCTAGGAAAAAACGCCGTATGAAAATGCGGGGGTTGCAAAATTTTCCAAGATAAAACATGTAATTTTGAAGAAAAGATATACGTGTTTTCTCTTGAAATTTTCAGATATTTTGGATCCAATAGACCATCATGGATCGATGCAGAAAGTGCAAACATTTCAAAATCATGAGTTGAAAAACGCTGACTCCGCAAGTTTAAATATTAGAGCCTAACACAGAGCGGAGCGGCGACGCACTGGCGCCTACAAACCTGATTGGGATACTTCACGCATTGCGCAATGCGTGAAGTATCCCTGTTAGGTTTGTAGGCGCCAATGCGCGTTCAGCGCTGGCTGCCCGCCTGCCACGCCGCGCCGCGCCGCGCCGCAGCGTGCCGCGGCGCTTGAAGCAACTATTTCACACCGGAGGTATTGCACAGTATTATACGAAATTGAAGGCGCTCCAATATATTAGGAATGGCAGGCATCCTTCAAAAGTACGGAGCTTTCCTCGCAAATTAAATCAAGATACTGCGGCCCAAAAAGAGAGCGGTAGTCCGGAAACTCACTAAGTTCTAGCATCCGTACTTAGTAACGTTTAGCAAACACTTTATCGCCAGGCTGTTGTTTAATCGTAGCGTAGAACGCGCACTATGGCGCCTAAAAACCTAACGGGATACTTCACGCATTGCGCAACGCGTGAAGTATCCCGTTAGGTTTGTAGGCGCCTATGCGCGTGTCAGGCTGCCGCGCCGCAACGCCTTTAGCAACTATTTCGCGTCAGAGGCGTTGCACAGTATCCTGCAAGATTGAAGGCGCACGAAATAACTAGTTAAAGAGGACTTTCAATTTTGACTGCATCTGTTGCAGTTGCAAAAATGTTTAATTTGGCATTGGAGCGTTTCCTAGGCTCCCGCTTTGGTTTTCATCTTATCATATCCGTACAGGGTACACATGAACATATGTTTTTATCTGCTCTTACAGTCTGTTCTCTTTCATGACTTGATTTATGAATGAAATGTCTTTAAGAATGAAGGTAGTAGTAGTATGCATTTATTTTTGAGGTGGTTCCTGTCATTTAAATGAGAAGAAAAAAATGTGGACATAACATGTCCACGGACAATTTTGGACATATTCATGGTTGGACATTAAATCATGCGGACTTAATAAAGACTGGACTTAACGTTTAGTGGACATTAAAAGCGGTGGACATTTATTTAATGGACGAAAGGTAGGTGTGGACATAAAGTCCTGGAGGCACCACTAGACAAGTTACGAATTCAATCACTTTGTTACATGTTTCTGAACCTGAATTTCACGTAGAACATGATTCTCTCATCAAAAATTACTGAGATCAATCCCTCACTAAGATATTCATGTTTTTATTGTATATTGGTCACGGGAAATTCGAATTCCCCGGTCACAAGTAACTCTATACTCTACGTGAGTCAAATCGCGCACTACAACAATAGTGGCGGGCTTTTCAATCGAGCAATATTTTCCCGGCCTTTTGTTCTTCGAAGTGTTAATGACGTGCGACAGCTAAGCCAAAGCTACGAGATTGAGGTTGCCATATTGTAATACTGCCGAGACTGTTACGGCAACGTTTAGTGCGGGATTTCACTCACGTAGACCTTTGCGTTTTCATGAGCGGGAGGTTTGAATTCACGCGTCAAGAAACATGAAGTATCTTAGTTAAGAGTTACATTCAGTAATTTTCGTTGCGCAAATCATGTTCTACGAGAAATTTTGGTTAAGAAACATGTATCGGAATGCTTAACTTCGTACCTTGTCTAGTGGTCCATTGCGAACAAAATTGTCAGAAAAATGTGAAGAAAAATATTCAAAATTTCCCTGTAAATTCAATTTTTATTACATTATGAATTTACGTATGAGCCTTCAAGTGTCGGCAAAATTCCTAAATCACGAATTTTCGGCAAAATTCGTAAACGTTTTCCCTCCAATTTTTCAGATAATTTTGTTCGCAGATTCACTTAAATTTCCTGAAAATTTCAAGGCAAAATATTCATAGCTTTCTTCAAAAATAAACATTTTATGAAAATTGAATTAGACAACTCTTGAATGTTCACATACGGCATTTTTCCTCACCACGGCAGTATTAGGTTAGGATACTAAAGACAATTTTTCAGATAATTTTGTTCGCTGATTCACCTGAATTTCCTGAAAATTTCAAGGAAAAAAAATTCATAGCTTTCTTCAAAAATATACATTTTATCGAAATTAAATTTGACAATTCTTGAATGTTCATACGGCGTTTTTCCTCAGCACGGCAATATTAGGTTAGGATACTTAGGGCAGTCCACTTACGAGTCTTTTTTGGGGGCGGGCCGGTGTCGAGAAGCTAAGATGGCTGACAAATCTCGCAAAGCTGGAAGATCTGGGTTTAGACGAACTGGATTTGGACGAACTGGGTTGAAACGAGCCGTCTTTTTGTGAACCCATACACTGACCCCCTCCGACTGCGAAGATGAACAAAACTATTGCACGAAGCCGCCATTCGAGTAACATGGTTGATCACCATCCAGACCCGGAAGAATTGCGCGGGCATTGAGTGATACCGACCGATGTCGTTTGGTTTCCGGAGGGCAGAGTTGAGCATTTATAGATGAATCGAATCGACGTTTCCCTCACGAAAGAACGTAACTCTATTTCAATGTTGCCAAATTTCCCCATGCGAAGTGCATATTAATCAGAAAAGCCTTATGCGTTCTGAACAGAAAATTTCACTGTTTTTTCCTCAGATTTCATGTAAAAATCAGATAGTTTTGGATCGAAAATTGTACCGATACATTTTCGTAAAATAAAATAATTGTTTGAGTCAATTTGGCAACCTTGGATTGGTGTTACGTATCTTCGTCCGGGAGACAACGAGATGGCGTAACTAACAATTGCGGGAAAGTCCGTGCGCTTAAAATGTCCTGCCTGGATGGAGGAAAAAAGAAAACCGACTGAAAAAGAGATTGATTGACGACAGTTGCGCGAGAGAATGTACAAATGCTCATTTCCTCGTCGTCCATTTTTCGTGCTGTTCTTCGACGAAAAAGCGGCACACGGGAATCTGGATGGCGGAAAACTTCTGCAATTAAAACGAAAATTTAAACGGCTGGTATATAGAAGCTTGA